TGGCCTACTATGAAAGCAAAAGGGTAACGGATACCAGAGCCCAAGCGCGTCTGACGCTGCTTGCTCAACTCTTTCAGGACGTCCTCGTCCACGACGAGTTCAGAACTTCCCCCGTGGCCTCTGGTCTTATGAGCACCGTCTCGGCAATCTCCCCAGCCTTGAGGTTGGCCAGGAAAGCCTCAGTCGTCATTTCCTCGAAAATCAGAATATCCGCAACCTCTAGCAATGGTTCCAAGTGGACACCAGATGCCTTGACGGGTAAACCGGTCTCGCCATCGAAGATGTGATAACACTCTTCCACCGGCCGTGTCGGAGGAGCCCGCGCCCCGGACTCCGAGTTGCTTGAAGCGACGTCGATCTAAAAGAGATCCAACTTTCGGCGGCGGCGGCGTCGTCGTCGACGGCGACCGTGACCGTGACGTGGAACTTCGCTACCCATGTCCGGTGAAGTCGTGGTGCCGACATCCGAGCACTCGAGGCCTCGTGTGGTACTATATTACCCACACAGGAAGCGCATCCCGCGTCTTCCTCATCAGTTATGGTCTGGGTGACCTCGTGTGGCACTGTGTTACCCACACAGGAAGCGTATCCGACGTCTTCCTCTTCTGTTAAGGTCTGGACGACCGTGTGTGGAGCTTTGTTACCCACCTTGGACACGTATATTACCAGCGTTCGTGACAGCTGCAGCTGTCTGGGGAACTATGTTACCCGCTTGTGGACCAAAGTTACCCACTTGGTCAGCGCCTCCTTGCGCCGCCACCATCGAAGCGTCGTCAGGGTCGTCATATACGCTGACGACTCCCAAGCATCTGATGGATGCTTCGGTACACTGGCAGCCCTTGCGGGCGCCCCGGGTCCTGGCAGAGGTGGGAACATGACTCACCAATGCTCTGTCAGACTTAACAGGACGGCTGGCACCGATTGCCTGGCCTCGCCAGTCATACAAGGCTCGTGTTCCTCGAGCCAGAGCATGCCCAGGATCAAATCGTTGGGATCCATGTCGAGAACGGTAAACTATTTTGGGCTGTCGAAGTCTTCGAACTTGACGGCCAGATCCATTTGGATGTTGGGGACAGTGACGACCTTCCCGTCGGTCAGTCGCACTGACACCGTCCCGTTGCCTTTGCTTTCTCATAAAGCATCGGACAGCTTGTTGCTTTAACGAGCAACCGTCTGGCGGCGTGCGAAATTCTTCGACGCCCCAGAATCGATCAAAATTCTAAAGGGTGATCGTATCCCCGTACACACCCGTGTACTACAAGCAGCCCGCCGCTGCTCTTCGCCGATTCGAGAAGGCAAAAACTCTCAGGGGTTAAGTCCCCGTGGTACGCGCCACCTGCGCACCTCTCACATAGATTAGGCCTTCCCCAGTAGGGAGCCCCATTCCTACTGGTCTCCGGCGTTCCCCTGTCCCCGGGATCCTGGGTTTTGCCAGCGACCCTCGAGGACGGGCTTGGGGAAAGTCCGCCTGCGGTGTCTCTCCGCGGGACAGTCGCGCTTGAAGAAGTTTCCCATCTTCCCGCAGCCGAAGCAGCGGATGTCACGCTGCTCGGCGGACCCGAGCTCCATGGGAACTGGTTCGTTGGGGCTCGCTCGACCGGAAGTCGACAAAGAAATTCCAGGCCATGCTGAGGCCGGCGTACGCCCTTGGCGATTGCTGTATTCTTCCTGAAGGGCTACTTGAATCGCCTCTTCGAGGGTGCTTGACTGCACCCGGAACAGCTGAGTGCACGCCGGACCTTGGTGGCCGTCCATGAACACAGTCACCTTGATGTGCTCGTTGAGTGGGTTGCCCACTAGGAGCGCCGCGAGCCCCCGCATCTCTTGGACGTACTTGTGCAGCTCGCGCCTTTCTTGCTTGCATGAGAGGAAGCGCGAAAGCTGCCGGTACTCGTAGTTCGCCGGGAGGAACGCGGTTCGGAGTTCGCACAGCTGAGCCTAGGATGTGAAACAACCAGGCGATGTCGCCTCCCGCGTGTACGCCCAGCTCTTGGCACGACTGCTAAGATTGGAGAGCGCAAAAGCAACGCGGAGTTGCTCGGTCGAGATCAGAGCCGCGTCCATCGCGAGCTCTACCTCTCGGACCCAGAAGTGAAGGTTCTCACCTTCCTTCCCTTCATACGGCTTAACCTTCAGCCGTATTGGCTTCAGGTGTGGCGGATTTGTTTCCACCGCCGGAGCCTGCAGGTTCTCCCGCACATGTGCGATGAGCCCTCGCTCGTAGGCGTCAAACGCATTGACACGCTCGAGCTCCTCGGCCGGTGTTGACGCCACCAGGCTCTGCATAGCCTCCATCCCGACGATGCCAGCCATCTTCCGAGTGTACTCGAACCGTGTGTCGTTCAGATTGGAGAAGTCGTTCCTATTCATGGCGACGAGCTTCAGAGAGGTTCAGGTCGTCTACCCGCGTTGGCGTGGATTGACTACAAGTGCTACCAAGTGTGATGGGGTCACACAGCACCTTGCGCTAGAGAAAGTTGGCTTCCGAGAGTATATTAACTCTCAGTGAACAGTAGCTAACAGGTCCCTTTTGTCAAAGGAAGCGAAGTGACCAATTAAAGGTAAGTTGTAAACTGAATGCATTTATAAGTAGGCTAAGCTTGAGTTAAATTTACAAGCTATAAATCACCTTTAGTAAAGCTATGTTATCAGCCAATGATTGGCCTCTGACGACCCTGGTACCATATACCAGATATCCCGAAGTGTGACGTGTCAACCAGGAGTACACTTGGGGTTTACGTACCCGTTACAAAAAGCGTTTGAATTGTGTACATGTACAAGTAGGCCAGACTATTAAGTGTCACTAAAGACGAAGATGGTTAAAAATAATGGCGAAACGCGCTCACATCGAGTACAAGTAGATATAACTGATCCGTGTAAGTGAAGTAAAGCTGGAAACAGATAACGATTGAGGCTAAAGCAAAACGAGGTTTGCAAGCATATGTGATTTCCGGAAGCTAAAGCTACTAATTACACTATAAAATGCAAACTTTATCTCACATCTGCGTATTTGACAGTCCTTGAGCTCTCCCAGCTCTCACTTTGAGGGGTACTTGGTAATGACTCCATCCAACATGTGGGTACGACGCGCGCCTCTTCGCGGTCGCGGCGAGCCCGCTCCTCCAGCTCAAGTTTCTCGGTGTGACCGGCATTAGCCTTCTAGGTGAGAACTTCTTTCTTTAGGTAATGATCGCTGTATTTACTTAATAATGGAAAATGCCAATTTGTATACGGTACACAATTCCTGTATTATACCTTCATTTACTAAAAGGTACTCAAATTGGACCGGTACACTAATTCTAGTCCTACACAGACTCTTCGCTGTCCCAATTCGTAAACTCATCGATACAGTCCTCACTGAGGGCACCTCCGCTGTCGCTCACGTCGTCAGCATTTTCTCTAATGCGCTCCTTCCACTTTGAGCAAAAGAGCTCGCCGTAAACGTCGTGTCGCGCCACATGCCAATCTCCAAATCTTGGAGAAAACCCAGCTGCTGCCACCGAGCGCTCAACGACGACAGCTGGAACATCATCGCGCCAAGCAACGTTCACCCAGTTCGCCACGGTCTTAACCGATGGTGGCTTTGGATTTCCTCCGCGAGTGTAGAGCACAGCATCAGACTTCTTCCAGCTATTAAAGATGGGCGATAGCTTGTCCTTGAACGACTTGTAGATCCCGATATCTCCCGCTTGCACGTAAGGTATCAGTCCTCCTGGGATGACGAACATCTGCACCCCTTTCGCGGCGCACCGAGCCTTCACCACCTTAGAGATGTGTGCACGCATGCTGTCGCCAGACCAGCGCTTTTCCCTGCGTGCACGTGTCGAAAATAGGCGGAAACACCAGATCCAGCCAACGAGTGAGAAGCGCCGAGTCGACCCATGCCTTAAGTTGGTTTACAACGTAGACGCTGCCGTAGCGCTCAATCTTGCCATCCTGCTTAGCCCCTTTCCAGACAACCAGCGGGGGCAGCTTGCGGTCGGTTGCCATGACGGTCAGCACAGCCGTCACCCGCATTGAAGCAAATCCCGTAGTCTTTAGCACAACGTGGCGAGCTCCAACTTGGTCCACCGTCTGGCGGCGCGGGTCCTAGAAGTAGACTACCGTCTCGTCCATCAGGATGGTGTGATCGTCGCTAAGCCCATTGATGCGTGACGTGAGATAGCTTAGAAAGCTTACCGCCCGGTCGGTCAACACGTCATCGGTTAGCACGGTAAGATTGGTGGTGCGGCGCAGCGACAGTCCATACCGACGCATGAAGCCGTTGACCCAGCGGTACGACGCAAAGAAATCTGTATCGCCCAGCTCGGATGCGGCAAGCCGCTGCCCAGCGTCGCGAATCCAATCACGAGAGACTTTCTCTTTAGCAGACCGGCGAAACAGCACTTGATCGAACAGGATATCCTCGATCTCGGAGATCCGTGGCTTAGCACCCGCCCCAGTCAGGCGGCTGCGTAGCGCTGACGCGGCCTTGATAGCGGTGCGCTGCTTCCACCAGTAGCGTACCTGAGCTTTGGAAACCTTCCAGCCGCGCTCATTCTTGAAGTACCCAGCGGCTGGGGTGGGCACACCGCCGTTTTACTCGATCCACTGAGCGACCTCTTTCTTCTTGGCCATTGACTTGGGCATGCGTGACGACGGCATCTTCACTGGGAATGGTTTGGCTGCTGAGGGCTTGAAGGGACTGGTAAAACTCAGAATAAAGAGAGCCGAGCAAGAAAATTGGTGGTTCTGGTCATTGGTGTATTATATTTGGTACGGTACACAATTATTCGAGTACCGCCAAAACGGTACACAATTTGGTCTCTACTCGGCATTATTCGTTAATAAAAAAAAGTTTGAGCCCAGGAAGTTGAAGTTCGACCCTTATTTTGCAATCGTACTTATTTGGGGATAGCCAATCACTGCGGCGCATCGCCAAACCAATCGTTGGTCCTCGAAACGTTGCTTTTTGGCCATTCCGCATTTGCTCAACCTTTTTGTGTCTCCTGCGTGACTCAATGGCGGTGGCAGCAGCAGCAGCGGCGACGAGTTTCCCGCGTGGCAGGAAGCCCAAGACTTCAAGCCAGAAGGCACCTGGGTCTGTAGCCGCTCCGGGTGAGGCGCTATTCGGCAAGCGTGGGCTGGCCGCAGCAGACGAAGAGCAGCCCAAAAAGAAGGCCAAGAAAACAGCCAAGAGCGAGAAAACCAACGCGAAAGATGATCTCAAGGCCGCAAAGGCCACGCTGCTCACCTTCAAAGCGCTGCGCAAGGGCATGTTACTGCTCGGTTGCGTGCGTCAAATCACGGATGGGCAGGACTTGATGATCAGTCTGCCCAACAAACTCAACGGCACGGTGGCTTTGAACGAGTGCTCGGACGAGTTCTACGACTTCCTCCAGACCAAAAAGACGAAAAAGCAACAGGGGGAAGACGACGAGCAGCTGCAGCCACTCAGTACCCTTTTTAAAGTCGGACAGTTTGTACCCTGCGTAGTGTTGGCCACCGGAAAGACCGGTAAGCGCAAGCAGATTCACCTGTCACTACGCACGTCTTTGCTCCACGCTGAGCTTAGCCCTGGAAGCCTCACTAAGGGCACCTCTCTGCATGCCACGGTGTCGTCTGTAGAGGACCACGGCGCCATTGTCAACCTGGGCATCCGTGGCGTGCACGCCTTCGTGCCTCGCAAGGAGCTCACGACGCCTGCACACAAGGGTCAACATCTATTAGTCAACGTGGTGTCTATGAACATGCACACCAACACAGCGACAGTGACCATCGACCGCAGCCAAGTCGTCAAGGCCGTCACACGCGGTGATTCGTTTACCTTGAAGCAGCTGGTGCCTGGCATGCTGCTCAATGTCCGTGTCGAGGACGTGTTGGAGAACGGACTGAGTGTTACGTTCCTCAGTTTCTTCTCCGCCACAGTCGAGCAGAACCACATGAGTCTGCCCTGTGAACGCGGCTGGGAAGAGTCGTATCGCAAGGGTATGAAGGCTCGTGCACGTATCGTCAGCATCGATTACATCGCCAAGCAGATCACGCTTTCTATGGCCCCACACGTGGTGCACTTGCAAGTTCCAGAGTCGCTGTTCTCCGCTGGGGATATTATCGAAGAAGCCACCATTGAACGGATTGACGTCGGTATTGGCATGTTGCTGTCACTGAAGAGCCAGGACGAGGACGTCGACATGGAAGATGCCAGCGACAAGAAAGAAAACACGACAAATGCTAAGTGGAAGGCCTTTGCGCCCGGATATGTTCACATCTCCAACGTGTCAGACAAGCGGGTGGACAAGTTGGAGAAGAAATTCACCGTGGGATCTTCTATCAAGTGTCGTGTGTTGGGCTTCTCGCCCTTCGACGCCGTTGCGAGCGTGAGCTGCACGGAACACTCGATTTCGCAGACGGTGCTGCGTCACAAGGATTTGAAGCCTGGCACCAAGGTGAACGGCAAGATTCTGTCTGTCGAGTCGTGGGGGATTCTGATGGAGATTAGCGAAGGTGTTCGTGGTCTGGTCACTTCGCAGCACATGCCGGCCTTTTTACTGAACAAGAAGGCGAACAGCGGCAAGTACAAGGCTGGCAAGACTACGAGTGCGCGAGTGCTGCATGTGGACCTTGACGCCAACAAGACGTACCTGACGATGAAGTCGGGACTGCTCTCTTCGGACCTGCCTGTCTTGAGCTCGTTCAAGGAAGCTACTATGGGTCTTATCGCACACGGATTCATCACCAAGATTGGCGAGTATGGTGTGATTGTCACCTTCTACAACAATGTGTACGGTCTCGTTCCCATGGCTGTATTGCAGCAGGCTGGCATTGAGAACCTGGAAGAAGCTTACGTTCCAGGTCAAGTGGTGAAGGCGCGAGTGACTCGTTGTGATGCCAACAGGAAGCGATTGATGCTCTCGTTTGACACGACGTCCAACAGCTCAGGCAACAAACCTACTGCCGCCCCTGAAATCGCTTCGAAGCTCGTGGGAACGAAGATCACTAACGTCAAGATTACAGACGTTGATACCACGTGCTTCCGTGTGCAGACCAAGGACGGTATGGAGGGCGTGCTCCCTTTCGTGCAGCTGACCGACTTCCCGCGCAACACGTCGCTTGTGGACAAGATTGTAAAGCGCTTCAGTGCTGGCGACGTGATCTCGGAGCCGCTGCTCGTTGTCTCTCAAGAATCCGATGGTGTATTGATGCTCTCGAAGAAGCCGCTGTTGCTTGAATTCGCTTCTCGTAAAGCCATTTTGCCGCGCACTTTCAGAGATGTACAGGAGAATGCTGTTCTTATCGGTTACGTGACGTCTGTGAACGTGTCGAAAGGCGTCTTTGTCAAGTTTCTGAACAACCTCGTTGCTGTCGCTCCCAAGGGATTCCTCAAGGAGCAGTTTGTTGGTCAGATTGACGAGGAAATGTTCGAAATTGGCGAGACTGTGACGTGCTCTGTTGCGAAGATGGACAAGGAGAAGAAGCAGTTCGTCGTTGGGTTCCAGCAGAGCAATTTCGTGCTGCCTACGAACAGCACCAACAAGGCGCGTCCCGCCTTTTTCCAGGCATACCTTCGGGAACAGGCTTCTGTGCGCAACGCTGCTGAGGTGAAGAAATCCCCTTTTGCTTTGGGTAAATCGGAGAAGACGGAGTTTGTTGGTGTTCGTCCGTACGGTGCTGTCTTCGCTCTGGAGACGGACGAGGAGACTGTTACGGTGCTGGTACCTTCGGTGACCGAGAAGAACAACGAGTGGGATGAAGGCGACACTGTGAAGCTGCTGCTGACGGACTACGATTTCAGCAAGAATGTTTACTACGGAGCTGCCGACGAATCGCTAGTCAAGAGCGGATCTAAGAAGTCGCGAAAGCAGAAGCAACGCGTGAAGACTGGCGGAAAGATCGCTGCCGCTACGGTCTTGGCGGTGAGTCCAACGGAGAAGTACGCGGTGGTGTCTTTTCCGGACCCGCAGAACGCTGATCTGCTGCAGTTTGGAGTGGTGCAGCTGTGTGATTTCTGGTGCCCGTCGCAGACCAGCAGTCAGCTCGGAATTGAAGTGGGCGCTTCGATAGAGTGCCGCGTGGTGCAACCTTCGCTGAAAAGTGTCTCTAACTCGACGCCGTTCGACGATCTGGCGCTGCTGGCTTTGGAGGAAGAGGAACTTGTTGCCAAGACGAAGGCTTCTTCGCGCAAAACGTCGTCCAAGGTGCCCAAGTACACGCAGGAGGATCTGGTGCTTGGCAACATCCTAACTGGTGTCATTTCTGGTATTTCGGAGAACTCGATGGAAATTCGCGTCGAGACGCACAAAAAGGCTGGAAAGGTGCGCGCAACGGTGTCAATCGTGGATGTCAATGGCATCGACGAGAAATCCGGCCACTCTCACCCGTTCGACAGGTACTCAGTCAACACCACGGTTACTGGCCGTGTGATCGCCGTGTCGGCGAAGGGTGCCAACAAGCTTAAGCCTGTTAGCGAGGAGAACCCGGCCAAGTTTCATGCTCTGCAGCTATCTCTGCGTTCCGAGGATGTGGCTGGCGACGAAAAGGTAGAGGATGTTCAACGCTTTGTTCGTCCCGACTGGCTGGAAGGCAGTGCTGGCCGTGCGCTCCTGAAGGAAGGCAACTCGGTCGAGGGTGTCGTGTCAGACCAGGATGCTGATCATCTCACGGTCAAGCTTAGCGGTAACGTCACGGGTACACTCAGCTGCGTCGAAGTATCTGAAGACGTGGATGTTGTACGCGAGTTCCAAGGCAAATACCCTGTTGGCAAGCGTGTCAAGTGCTTTGTGCTCCAAGTGGACGATGAGAAGAAGACTGTGGACCTGTCCGTGATTCACGCTTCTTCGGCGCAGAGCCAGGCTGTTGTGAAGTCTGGAACCATTGTGAATGGTGTGATTTCGACCAAGAAATCTGCAATTCGGCCGCCGTCGATCATGGTGCAGATTGGAGTCCACACTTTCGGGCGTGTGTGTATCACTGAGTTGCAGACCAAGTGGGAGAACGACATGCTGGAACTGCCTAAGTTCTCTGTCGGAAAGGTCGTGCGCTGCGTTGTGCTGTCGACCAGTAACAATCACATCGACCTGTCGCTGCGTGAAGACGCTTTGGACAGTCCGAAGGCGTACGCGAAGAAGTCTTCGAAGTCTGCTGAGCGCAACGTGGGCGACTTGGTCCCTGCTATCGTGGCCACAACCACCTCGAGCGGATGCTTCGTTCGCGTGGACCGCCACACGACAGCTCGTGTCATGCTCCGTGACCTCAGCGACGACTTCGTCAAGGACCCGCAGACCCAATTTCCTTCGGGTAAACTGGTTGCTGGACGCGTGACGAAGAAGTCTGACCGTGGATTGGAGCTGAGCCTGAAGGCGTCTGTCGTCTCGGACGACGTGTCTGTATTCAAGTGGAGCGATCTTAAGGAGGGACTGACGGTGAAGGGTACGATCACCAAGGTGCAAACGTACGGTGTGTTCGTTCGCATCGAGAAGACTACTATCAGTGGGTTGTGTCATATTTCGGAGGTTGCCGACGAGAAGGTGACACAGCCGCTGGACCAGATCTTCTCGGAGGGCGACTATGTCAAGGCCAAGGTGTTGAAGGTCGAGGATCGTCGTGTGTCATTTGGTCTAAAGCCTTCGTACTTCGAGGGTGAAGAGAGCAGCTCGGAAGAGGATTCGGATGACGAGGAGGCTGACAGTGACGAGGAAGAGGAGGCCGAGCCCATGGATGTCGACGAGGAAGAAGCCCCAGTCAAGAAACCGGTGATAAAGAGATCGAAGCCGGCGACGATGGAGATTGACCTGGGCGACGACGAATCCTCGTCTGATGACGAAGAGGCAAGCAATGCTGCTCCGGTGGAGTTCAGCTGGGACGGATTCTCCGACGTGTTGAGCAAAAAGGTGGACTCGAAGGATGACGACGATTCTTCTGATGAGGAAGACGATGAAGAGGAAGCTGCCAACTCGTCAAAGTCCAGCAAGAAGAACCGGCTGCAGAGTGACGAATGGGTGGCTCTGCGCGAGAAGGCTTTAGCTAGCAACGAGGACGTTCCTCAGAGTGCGAGCGACTACGAGCGTCTGCTGGCTGTGTCGCCGCAGAGCTCGTACCTGTGGATCCAGTTCATGGCCTTCCACGTCTCGTTAACGGATATTGATCTTGCCCGTGATGTTGCCGTTCGCGCCACGTCTGCTGTCTCGTTCCGTGATGAGAAGGAGAAGATGAATGTGTGGGTGGCGTACCTCAACTTGGAGCACGACTTCGGAGATGATGCGAGCTTCCTGCGCGTGTTCAAGAGCGCGTTGCAAGTGAACCACCCCAAGCGTGTTTATTTGCATCTGATCGATCTTTACGCACGCGCCGAGGAGCATGAAGACGTGAAGCAGACGCTTGCTACCATGCAGAAAAAGTTCCGCACCAGCAAACAGACGTGGATCCGCTCGCTACAGTATCTCGTTGGCCAGAAGCAGTTCGCAGAGGCCGCCGAGACGTTGCAGCGCAGCCTCAAGAGTCTTGCAGCTCACAAGCATCTGCCGGTTATTCTGAAGTACGGCCAGCTGCTGTACGAACAGGGTGAGCTGGACAAGGCCCGCACGATCTTCGAAGGCATCTTGGCTAATTACCCGAAGCGCATGGACCTGTGGAATGTGTATCTGGACAAGGAGATCAAGTTCGGCGACGTGGCATTAGTGCGCGCGTTGTTCGAGCGTCTCCTGGCTATGGAGTTCTCGGCTAAGAAGATGAAGTTTTTGTTCAAGAAGTACCTGCAGTTCGAGCAGGACCAGGGCGACGACGAGCACGTGGAGCACGTCAAGCAGTTGGCGAAGGATTTCGTTGCTAGCGCTGCGGCCAAGTAGAGATCGCCGCCTTTTAGATAACTGAATAGAATATGTAGTTTTGCAGCAACGCTATGAGTTTGTTTAGTAGCTTACTACAGTGTAGATTGTTCACTAACGCTCCTCCTGTGTCTAGGATGGATGGACTTTGTTCGAGTGCGACGTCGCGAGTGGAGGCAACACAGCTGGATCTCGGGCGCGCTTCATCACCAGCGGGGGCAAGACGTGAGGAAGAACACTCGGCTGGGGCTTCGGAGTCGACTCGGTGTGTTCTTCTCGGGTGTTTTGACCAGCTTCAGAGTGCTCGGGAGTCTCGACAGTCGGCGCTGGTTCGACAGAGACTGCTCCTTCATCGTGTGCAATCGAGGCTTCTGGAGCCAGAACATCCGAGATCGACGGTGCAGTCCCTCGTTTGGGCTCTCTGGAGCGACTTCGATGCTTTCGGTGGTGGTGATGACGATGATGATGACGATGTCGTCGGTCTTTAGAGAATTCCGTTTGAGTCTCCATCTCTTTGGTCGGAGATTTCGCCGGTGCATCAAGCTCGACGTCTCCTCCGTCTTCCGCTGTCGACGTCGATCTGTCCACTTTCAGCAACGCCAGTTGCGCTAATCGAGCTTGACGAAGTCGCCATCGCTGTATGTATCCTTTCACGTACGAGTCCACGAGCATCTGCGCCACTTTGGCGCGATAGATGAAGATCTGTTTGACTCGATCTCTCTGCTGTTCGTAAGGCAGCGACCGGATCCCCAGTTGGTGAATGCACAGTATCCGCAGCAACTCGTTGAAATACGGACGCTTACGACCATCGACTGCTGGCCCCCACTGCGCCTGAGCTTGCGTTCGCAGCTGTAGAAACGCTATTCGTTCGCGATGAGCGTCGACTCGGAGACCTGGAGGAAGTTCCGACAGGAAATTCGATAGCTGCCATAGTGGGAAGTATCCAGTGTTCTGTACGTCGTAGCGCAGGAAAACTTCACGATAGGCCTCGAAATCGAGCAGCGAGACAGCGCACACGTCGCTCTTCAAGTAGCAGCTCCGGAAGTTCTCGAGAATGACAGCGATGAAGAGATTGAGGAAGACAAATACCACTAACGTGACGTATGTGATGAAGAAGAAGGCAGATCCTGCCACACTCCCGCAGTCTGAGTACACGCGACCTGTTGACGCGCTGATCCTCTCAGCACAGAAAGGTTTTTGAACCATGCAGTCGGTCATAGTGAGGTGCCAGTCATCTCCTGACATGATCTGGAAAAGCAGCAGAGTAGCCGAGCCAAAGGTGCGAAAGTTGGAGAACGAGTTCATCGCTGGACCGTATCGCACTCCACCGAAAAGTTGACGAGCTACGATGGCGAAGATAAAGTAGATCATGAACATGAGGAAGAAAATCTGTCCTAGAGGACGTAGTGACGCTCGGAATGTTTGGTAAACGGTGTAGATTCCGCGGTTCAAATGCACGAAGCGAAGCACACGCATCATGCGGAATATCCGACCTGCTTGGATGATCGAGTGGTAACCCGTGGCGAAAAAGTACGCAACGATCGAGCCGGATAGAATTGCCACCTCGAAGATACCCTGTGGTTGGAGTAGATAATGCTGACGGAGACCGATGGACTTGATCAAAGCCTCGAGGGTGAAAATGGTGAGGAAAATGATCTCGATGACCTTGAAAGACAGCGACGTGCCTCCCTCGGATCTCGGACTGACAAGTAGAAGTACTAGATTCAACACGATCGCGATGGAAATCCCCGTGGAGAAGTAGGGATGTTTACACAAGTCATACATCTTTGCCTGGATTCGGATCCGAGGTCGCGGGATGCTTTTCAGCGGCTTGAGCAGCAAGATGAACTTCTCCAGGTCCACCCAGGACTTTTGACTCTCGGTGAGAATTTCTGTGCCATTGTTGCGTTGGAACTGCTCGACCAACACACCGACAAAGAGGCGAATGACGAACAGAGAGCCCACGTAAATGTACAAGACGAAGAAGATTGCAGCTTGAGACGAGGCATCAGTCACTGGCTGCTTGCCAACGCCAGCGATATCCATGGCAGCAAAGGCTTTGTCGACCCATTTTAGCGACGTCATCTCAAGTAACGTGAGGAATCCAGCGCCGATATTGTCAAAGGAAAAGCGAGCGTTCTGCCACACTCGGGGCATCAGGATGGCCCCACCAGGAACACCTCGTGCCGCAGCTTCTTGCAATGGCAACACACCGTCTGGATACACCAAGTAAAAGCCGACGCACTCCGCTGCAGAAGCCACCTCGCTGTCGTTGCAATAGTAAAACTGCTCGGAGAACAAAGACCGACCCACGACACCGAAGATAATGTACACGATGAGACAGAGCGACAGCACGTTTCCTACGTGTGGTAGCGAACGAGCCACCGCGTTGAGAATGACCTTCATCTCGTGGTTGTGATTCAGCATTCGCAGCGGCCTGAGCACACGACCAGCTCGAAAGACGCTCGACAATGTCACGGTGGGATTAATCGTCGTGATGATCTCATCGGCCACTGCCAGCAATAGCAGTGTCAGATCCAGTTGGTTCCACCTGTTCTCCATGTAGGTTTGTCTGTGCACGTAGCCAAGCAACTCGTCACTGTGGAAAATCGTCACTCGCAGATACTCAAAGCCGAATCCTGAAGCGCCAACTTTGACTACAAATTCTACGAAAAGCACAACAAGAGCGATACGACTCAAAGTCGTGAGGGCGAAATCAAACGTCTCACTTGGTGGAGACATACTCATCTCGGGGTGAGGTTCATCCAGGACAAGGCAAATACAACTCACCAGAATCATAAACTGGACTAGACGTGAAAACCAGACGTTCACTGCGACTTGTCTGCAAAACTTTTTCCAGGCCGAGCCACGCTGCGAGCTCAGACGCTGATTGTTCCTCGTCTGGGTGGGAATCGCTAAACCATTTTGAAGATTCGTTGAAGATTCCTGGCTGTTGGAGTTCAGCGTGTCGGCGTCAGGCGGGCCTGTCTTGTTCTCATCACCCTCTTTCCTATCGTCCAGGCCGAGAAACATCCGCAACTTGACATTGCTGACGTTTTCGAGCTGATCCATCTCGCCAAATGCGCGCACACCAACTTCCTCAATCTTCTCGTAGATGTCGAGTTCTTTGGGGATAGCGATGATCTGCGCTAGTTGTAGTTGGTATGCTTCCTCTTCGGAGATGGAAAAGTTTTCCAGAATGACGGCGATAAAGAGATTGAGCAGCACGTACTGACCCACAATGAAGTTGAGAATGAGAAACGGCACCATGAACCAGTGCGGATTGGCAGCGTCGACGGCATCGTACGTGATACTGGACCATTGGTCACCTGTTATGACCTGTAGAAGAGTCAAGAACGAGCGTCCGAACGTGTCGAAGTTCCAACGCGGCACTTCGCCATCTTTTCCTACGAGATGCGAGCCTCCGAAGAGCTGCATTCCGATAATACTATTCACCACCTGGAACACCAACATGAACACAACGACGTCCATCACTCCACGTGAAGATTTAAGGACGGACTGGATAAGTTTGCGAGTGCCCTCGTACTTCATCATTAGACGAGTGACACGAAGAGTTCGCAGGGAAGACACACTGTTGAGGCCATTGAAGCTCGTCTCCAAGTTGTTGAGAATGAGGTTGACCGTCGTGCAGAACACCACCACCATGTCGAAGATCCTTTCGGTGCTGCTCAAGTACACTCGCAGTCCTCGCATCGCCACGATTCGCATGATCATCTCGGTGAGGAAAATGACGCCGAAGATGTACTCGGTTACGGAGAGTATCAAGTCTAGTTCCGAGCTCATGTTCGGATACTCCACTAGCAGGAACAGCGTGTTAAGAAGAATGCTAATGGTGATAAAGTCGTCGAACTTCTTCGACAGCACGAAGCGCTGGAAAATCACGAACAGGGGACTCGTAGAAGACGTATTTCGCATCACCAAGGCATGTGTTGACGTGTCGAAATTCAACACATCAAGATCAGGAATCACCTCCATGGTCATAGCTTTCTTTCGAGGAACAAGTGGTGGCGCGGGGCTAATCGCTGCTTCGACTAGTGTATCGCTATTCCCATTCTGCAGTGATCTTGTCAGTGGTCCCATCAGTTCTTCCATTAGCACCCCATTCTGAATTAACTGCATCGTCGTCTCCACCGTGAGATTGCGAAGCGAGTTCCACTTGTGCATTTTTGACAGTAGATTCATATATTCCCCCTTGTTGTGCACTGTCTTGCTGTAGACTGGAGCACTTGCAGGGCGTCGATTACGTGGTATAGACGCCACATCCTCTTCTGCCATTGAGGCCACACTCAGTCTTGAATATGAGGTATCGCGTTTTATAAGAGCGGTAGTTGTTTCGCTGACCCCTCCAGCATCGTCAGCTCCAGTTTGATCTATTGCAGTGGCAGCTTGGGCACCATCTGCAGCGTCTGCTTCTCCACCATCACTGCTGATTGTGTCCTCAATTACCAGCGTCGCGCCCATGATCATGTTCACGTGGGTCTCCTCCATCGCAGGATCGAGTTTGCCCATGTAATGAGGCTTCTCCTTCTCACCTTCTTCGTCAAGAGTGAAATTCATGAAAGCCGTGGTAATAACTGCCACGAACAAATTGACCACCAGGAAAACCATGGAAGCGACAATAGCAACGAAGAAGAGCACGCTGAAGAAGGAAGACGACTCGATCACGGGCTTCATGATATCTGTCACCCAACCATCTTGCGCCACAACGAGGAAAACTAGGAATAAGGAGGAGAGGCCACTGTCAAAGTTCACGTGACTTGAAGGCGGGGTCGTGCTTAGACAAATCTGATCATTTGAAGAGCAGCTCGAGTTGGCTGAGCAGTACACTCGTGGCAATGCCTCCAACGCGTCCATTGCCATTGTTCCTATTGAAGAAGCTGCAGATGATGATGCAGCTGATGATGAGCTAAAGAGAAAACTGTATTCGGCTTCTTCGGGTGGGGAGATCGTGCACTGCGCGTCATACGATCCACTGTACGCTTCCAGTCCGAAGATGGAGAAGGCTAGCAGCCCGAACAAGGCCAATGTACCCACATTAGCCAGAAATGGCACGGCACGCATCAACGCTTTGAGGATTCGTCGTAATCCCGAGTACAGCGTCAAACTCCTTGCGGTTTTAAGTCCACGCAACACTTTCCACGTGTTACCGCTGCCCTGTCGGTGCGATATGAGACTGATAATTAACAAGGACACTTGAAGGAACCGATATCGAGATCGCTGGAAGTAAGCCTCCTTATTGCCCCACAGACCGAAGGCGATACCTTTCAAGACCACCTCCATCAATAGCAGAACCGTGAAGGCTAGATCGAGATTGGATAATGCCGATCCCTTGACGTATTCGTCATCCAGGGCCAAAACCAGCATATCTGCGAGAACAACAAAATATAAAATCCCTCGAAACCACGTTTCTTTGACGGCGACGCGAAGTTTTTGGCGAAACTCGACAAACCAGGGCGGCAGCGGATTTCGCGGTGACTTGACTACCACGTCTGCCCCCTCTTCGTTATCTTTATCATCGTGCGATGGGTTGGAAGATCGCTTTGTGTCTAGACTTTTGCCATCTCGTCGTCGTCGCCAGCTTTTAGATTTTGAAGCTCCGAAATACCTCGAATTGAAGCGTTGTAGTCGCTCTCCCCGCTGAGTTTCGGCGTGTGATAGCACCGCCTCGGGTCCTGCAGGACTCGCCAGCAGCAGCGAAGTACGCCGCACCAGTTTCGACGCCTCCACCGAAAGCTCAACAGATGTACGCCTCGCATTCGACGGGGTCACGGTGATCGTAAGTCGTCGATTTTGCTCCAAGGAATTGGTGTAGTCAGTGGAATCCTTCATGCTGGTCGCCATGAATTCGCTTTCAACGGTGGAGCCCAAAATCGTCTCTCGGGTTCATGCAGCTTAGTACCAGAACCTGAGCAGATCAAGGTTAGTCACAATTGCTGCGGCACGCAAGCTATCGTGCTGCTGAAGGCGGTGCAACGACTGCTGTGCTCAATAGTTTTGGGCCTTGAAATAGGGCACTGCAACATCAGTTTCAACTCCGACGCTATGAATGACACGACCAGCCATCTTGCAATCTCTAAATAATGTGTCATCCTTTTTTATTACTTAGAAAAAGTACATATATAAGACTAGGTGGTGTCGTTGCTATCGTCGTCCGGGAAAACTGGCACCCCAAGTGCATACTGCATCGTCTCTGCGTTGTCCCTCATTTCGACCACGGAATTAATGGATTGACCCAGTACGAGACGGACTCCATTGTCTGCATTGCCACGTTGTTGAGAATAACATGGCTCTGGTTGGTACGGCGATAGTGACGTTAGCAGCATCAGTGGTGCGTTTACTTCTGTCGAGGTGGCGGCGACACACGGTTGACACATGACCCGGCAAACCGGCAGCGGGTACATCGTCGTGGCCGTCATTAATACCAGACCTTCCACTCGAATGCCCCACGACTCCGCGCCACCGTCAGAACGACGCAAAACGGCTCCATGCCAGTCGCCCTCCCTTGTTTTATCGCGCAATATCGCTCCGAATTGTTTGGCAATTGCCATCACTTTCTTCGTCTTCACGTTCCCTCCGCTCATATCGGAAGAATCCAACTCAAGGACCAACGTGAGTGCAGATTCCAATAGACCTGAACGAACTGCAGTGTAACTGCGAAGACTGTGGAGAAATCCATGAGCATCGCTTACTACCGCCAAGTTCAGAGCCCAAGCACGATCTCCACGAATGCAACGAACGAGTACACCGACACGACAGGCGATCAGAAGTAGAAGCTGAGCGATCGACACGACTCCACTAGCAAAAGGAGGCCACGCGGTTCCTGCGAAAAAGGTCTCGATCCAATCGAATGGCACGTAACCTCGAGCTAGCGACGAAATCTGTTGCTGGCGGCTGAACACGGCGGATTCTGCTGCTGTCCTAAGGAGGATGAGGTGCTTGTGAATCGCCTCAAATGCGGAGAACTGGTTTTCCAGCTCTCTATCGAATGATTCCCACGGGAAGAACACAGCTGCCCCGTTCACGTCGGTACTTGGTCCGATAGGAAGCGCGCTCGCGGTTTGAAGATCTAGGAACATGTCTCGAACTCGGCAGAAATGGGTCCACAACTGGTCACAAGAAGCTACGCCGTCAGTGACGGCGTGTCGTGGCAGCCACTCTTCGGTCGCGTCTTGTGTTAGCATGGCAAGCGAGGAGCTACCAACAGACAGGAGGTCACTAAGAAGACTCGAAGAGAGCAACGCAGTCTTCGTTGCATCACTCCGTCTCGTAACACAACTGCCAGCAACATCAGGTTTGACTAGTCGAAGGAGAGTGTTCGTCATCTGCTCTTGCTCGGTTGTATCCACGGTGACTTCCTCAATAGTGGAAAGATGAAGCACGACATCCTCTAGATCTCGAACCGCCGAGCTCATCACTCTATGCTCACCCTGACGATGTCGAGTCAACACAGAAAGCGTCAGAGCTGAGGCCACGGATTCTGAAGCACCGCTCTCTTCCACCATTCTTTCTTTGATCGTTTGTTCGGTTGTACGACCACGACCCCGGTCAACAAAGTCCAGTTGTGACAGCTCCGAAGACGAAAACACGGCAATTCGATCCATCACTGCGAATTTTCCATTCTGTATCATAGTAGCCACTGAGAATGACGCTAGGATATACCACTCGGGCACAGACAGCAGTGCGTGCTCATTGATCAGCTTCGATACCAAGCAGAGTGCTGATTCCGCGTGTCTCGCGTTCAGCAGCTCCAGTACAAATTTGTGTTTGGTCGTGATCAGCACGATCAACTCGTCGCGAAACGCAACACTATCGGCACTGGTATCCACGAACGTAGCGATGTTCCAAGCTGAAAACTTCTGCTCGACGTTGCCTCGTTCCTGTGGCATGTACATAATGAGCGCTCTCGGTAGATGTATGCGACTGTATTTGCCCCTCGGTGGAGCGACGTCGACAACGAGAGATGCAGGCGACGGCCACGCTGTCCAGCTTTCTACAGCACTCGCATCGTTTGACTCGGAGGTATTTGCATGGCTACTGTGCAGTTGAAAGTAGAAAGCCAGAGTCTGAGCGAAGCTGGATGGGAAGAACGCTTTGGCCAGCAGTAATCGCACCAAGCCCAGTTGTTTTGCAGTATTTTCATCGTCTGCTGGGGAGGCAGCGTCCACTTTGAAGCGAGCCGATAGCTCATCCAAAGTCACAAGAGTGATCGCGCTTGGAAATAATCTGTTGCCCCGATAAACAGCGCTCGAGCCTAAGACTGGCTGACAACCTAGATCGCTGATGAGCTGCTCCACATCCAGCTGTAAGCGCAATCTCGTCGTCTTCCATTCGTACCAGAGCGCCTCGGATTTAGCCAGAAGCGTGTCGAGCTTCTGCTGAAGCTGTTCAATCACTATTTCCCTGCGTTCAATGCAGCCGGAATCGTTGTCGTGCTTCCCCACGCCATCCGTTTGTGTACTTACTGTAGACCCGTCAAGTGGAGACCGTGAAGCTTTCACCGGCTTACCACGAGCGTTTTTTACTCCCCGGGGACGCCTTTACATTGCGTTGGAAAGAGGTACGGCGCACAACTTGACGCGTCGTCGTAGACGCTCAGCCACAGAGGCACCAGAATCACCAGGACAATTCACTGAGTTACGACGTGGAAAAATACCGAGTCTCTGGCGGTCCTCATCACTGGCATCAAGTGACGCTGAATGTTTGAATCTCGATCTCCGGACATGGCTAGTTAGTATCCATATAAGTGCTCCCTTCCGTTGATTTTCCTTACTTGGTGCTAGTGTTCGTGTTTGAATTTGCCGCTGTACTAACTCGAGAAAGCAGAAAATCTGACGATGCGAGTCGGAGACAAACCCAGAGCTTACGCGAGCCAAGAGAGCTGCCCGTCCGTGAACAGACAGCTGCGTACTGTCATCACCTTGCACTGCTAGCTGTTGAGTTGCGGCATTTTCAAGATACCGAACGTTCTGCAGGTAAAATGGAGTCGTTCGGGTTCCAATTGTTAGAGACGACGACACTGCGGCCATACATCGACCTACAGCCACCAACTGCAGCGCCATCGGAGCGAAGACTTGGGTGGCACGCTCAAGTTCAGCAACTTTTGCTTCCAGACTCTGTTCACGGGAGGTCCATGTAAGCTCAGCTTGATAATCCTTCGCGAGCTGCACAGCAAGTTCACTATAACGTTCTTGGAGCTGAATCGTGACTTGGTTAGCTGTCCTCGCTGCGAAAGGAGAGTCATTGTGGTAGACTGCCGGTTTAAGTGTCGAGAATATCTGGTCAAGTTGTGCACGGCTCATTATCTGCTTCATCCAGCAGTCTGCTAGTCCTACTTGATCATCTCGCAGCTCCTGAAGTAAGTTTTGCTGAGCTTTACCCACTCGAGGAAGCTCAAACAACGTTTCTAGATCGGAATCAGACAGCAGCACTGGGAAATGGGCAAAATGAGCTGCCAACGAATGCCGAACCTCTAAAGGAACCGGTGTATCTGTAACGGCGTAGATCTGGAAGTTGCGTCCATTGCTCGGACTGCCACTTATCGCTTGACTTTTGCGTCGAGCATCGCGACGATCGAGTGTCTTCGCCAGGTCCCCCGGTGTTGTGTTTGCAGCTACAGCGGCCGTAATAGAAGCCGGGTCGATTGTCATTTGAGGTTTGCTACCAGTAGCTCTCACAACGCGTCTTGCCATCTTTGCCGCCCCCGTAGCTGCTGTCTGTGCTACAGCAGGCATACTCTCCACGGAAGACGCGGTGTTTGACGTCCGTCTCTGTCTTTGTCTTCGTTGGTCCTCGTAGTATTCCATCGTAAGTTCACGCAGCATAGGGCGGCGAGGTAGCGCGTGGGAAAGTCGAGTTTGGTCTAGAAAGGGTTGCAACTGATCCAGTAATACCGAGTCGGAGCTGCGGAAGTTGACTAGCAGAACAGGGATACCTAGACGCTGCGCTTCTTGCAAATACTCTTTGAGCTTTTGGTCATCACAAGAGATCACCATCGATCGCTTTGACTCGCTCGGGTGCTCGCTTTCGACCTCCCCAGGATCGCCACAGCCAGGAAAAGTAGAGAACAGCGTGTGTCCCGAAAAGAAATGAACCAAAAACCTTTGCAGAACACCTGAGGGATCTACAATCACGGGAACTCGGTCGCACAACTCGTCGGCAAGTCTAATAGTGCGATAGATTTCTTGGTTGCGGAGGAACGAGAACCGTGATGTCCATATCAACCGAATGACAGCGATGTGTTCATCTTCCGAGTCATCAATTGAGGCGTCTACTAGACGTTCTTCGATATCGGGACTGCTATCGTCACTCTCGAAAAGGAGGCTGCTGAGTAGATTCACACAAGTGACAGGCGTTGACTCACACACTGACGTCATGTGTGGGTAAACGCGTAAAGCACTCACATACAGAGCGACAGCCATGATTTCATACTCCGTTTTGCGCTGCTCTTGGTCCAATTCACGCGTCCATTTCGTGGATAAATGCTTCACCCGTTCTGATACGTGCTGCCAATCTGCTAGAAGCCTCGACACTTGCTCTAAGCGTAGACTAGTCTCAACCTTCAGCATCAGGAGTTCTTCCAACTGTGAGCGTAAAATCCACTGAGTTTCCTCCATCTCCCGACCGACCGGTTCGTCAACCGCAAGACTGTCACCTTTATTAGAGCGCATTAGCTCGACTTCATGCTGGGTAGAAATCCTCTCTAATTCCTTGTCAGTTTGTGTGCTTTGAAGCATCAGTTCTTGCTTACGCCGTTCCAGTGAAGGCACCACCTCGTTCCTAGCAAATGCCAAAGTTTCCAGTGCAGTCGTAAGTCGTAGAATATTTGTTTGACGACTCTGGAGCTTTGTCTTGTACGTGACCGTGGCGTTGGTCATGAAGGACAGAAAATAATCCAGTTGAGAGCTTGGATCTGCTGCTTCAGGGTATGCACGCATCATTCCCAAATGCACATTCTGGCACAAATTAGTGTACTTGACTACGCGCTGCACGTCCCAATCAACTCCACACAGAGCAGGCGAAAGCAGCGAGCCTTTCGCCATCTCAGGAAGCAGTCGCTGCAGCTCAAGTTCTGTGAACTCCAATCGCCGCCAATGACACGATGGCCTCGATTTCATCCAGTGTAGGAGATTTGAGTCTCCTCGCTCGTCTTCTCTCTCTTCGAGGATGCAGAGACGAAAGTTCTGCCGAAGTCTCTGCTGAAACTCCGCCATGAGCTCAGCCTCAGTCACGATCTCGAGCTGTTTACGAGACTGAATGCAGCCGAGTACAAGCTCATCGCGTAGCTCTTCGCCACCTGGAAGTAATGCCACAGAGGGCAGTTTCCCTAGACAAAACTCTTGAATGGCATCCAGCAAACATCTGGTGTGGGGGGTGATCTGTCGCTCTCGAATCCACAACGCAACTCGCTCCTGACAAACTCCTGCGGCTCCTAGAACACTCCGAATCACTTGGCTGTAGCGGCCTTCCGGGTCTTCTTCACTAGTGCTTAGTAAATCAACGACGTGAACTTTATAGCCGTGAAGGTCACATGCAAACCGTAGCAACCTGTCTAATAGCAGCCGACCGTGCCGCGGAGACGAAGATACCACTATCTGCTGCTGACTCAGCGCGTGGATCAGGTGCGTAGCTTGTGTAAGACACCACGAGCAGCTGAGTAATAACTTCATCTGGAACGAAGTGACTTGTCCACTAGAGTAAGGTCGACTTCTCCTATCATGAAGTCCACTTCCTGCCTCCGAGCTCGTGGACGTTGCAGCAATAGCCAGCAAGACATTCGAGACCAATTCCGTTGGCGAAGAGAGCGAGGTGAAACCATTGACAGACGCCCGTGCTTGGTCCGAAGAGCGCCAAGAGACTCCATTTGATGCCGTCATCTGCTCATTTAGCAACTCACGAAGCTGGACCAAACGAGGCTGCAACAGAGGAGCCTGGAGATGGCTTTCGGCTAGTCTCACTAAGAAGTGCAGCGTCTCTACTGAAATAGGGAAACTATGCTCATTATTCCCACGAAATGCCACACTAAAGTACTTTTCGCTCAAGTGACGCACTTGTGCCAAGATCTTCTTCTGAATTTCATCACTTGACTCCGCTTTACTCGTCATTTTCGCTACTGACGACTCTGCAGACGGCTGTACCGGGCAATTCGAGAGGAAAATGTTCTTCAGTTCGCTTAACCAGCTCTGATGTGCCTTACCCAGCTGCACGAGTGTCGTTCCCTCGCTTAATGGGTACGAAGCCGACAAATTAGTCGCAAAGGTGAGCGTTCGTTCCAGCAGCATGTTCACGTGATGAAGATTGAAGAGCGCCGGGCAAGGATGCTCAGTGCTCCCCAGCTGCTGAAAGGCGGCCATCTCCACTGCAAAATCGACACTTGCTCGAAGAACAACTTCCTCTAATGCAAGCTGTTGTCCTCCTCCACCCATGTTACCTTTGGCTGAAAGCTGACGGTCTGTGATCCCTTCAGAAACCTCTGCGTTGAAATGCCGCCCAAACTTGATACGGAACACACTCAGAAGCTCCTTCTGGGTGTACGTTGGGACTCTTAAAATCGCAAAGTGACGCATGAAGCGTGTTAACGTTGGCGAAGTACCTTGATCCATGTCACTGAGACGCATACCGGCTCCAATACGTTTCTCCACACTGTGAAATCCTCCACGTTGGGTGCTGTAACCCACTCGATGATCCAGCATCGTTCGAGCAAACTCTACTTGAGCTTTGTCGGCTAGTCGCTCACTGGCATCCAAGTCGTCCAGGAAAACAAACGAGTGTCTCGATCTCGTAGCAAACAGTTCACTCTCTTCACGCATCTTAGCTCGGGACTCTGCGCCCGTGTCGTGTTGATTCAGAGGGGAAAACCAGGCTCCAGGCACACGCGTCCAGTCGAGGATGCCGTGCACATGTCGTTCATCCAGCGACGTCTCCATTTTCATCCTCGCTGCTTCGACCTCTGTGTTACGATGCATGAGCCAACGAAGAAGCGAGGTCTTCCCACTAGCAGCAGGCCCAATAAGCAAAAACGAGTGTGAAGAATGAAGTAGCAACGTGCAGACCCGTACTAGCGATGTCGCTCGAGGTACCAACACCAACGCGTGTCCATTGGAAGAGTCGAAAGCGCTTTCCATCTTCGCTTCGGGTTTTGCTACATTTTTGCCTCCCGTGGCAGGTTGAACAGATAAAGGAGCTGCAAACCTCGGCTGTAGCTCAGCCCAGACGTCTTCAAAGTAGTTTGCGTCCAGGAGACTGCGCTGCAGTTCGGCCAAATGCCTCGTTTCGCTGTGTTCCTTGCTCTTAGCTCGCACATAACTCTCAAGTTTAATTTGGGATGGCCCCGGAAGATGGCCAGCAAACCCCCAAAGAAGTGCAAACGCCACGAGCTCAACAAGACGGAAATATGGCAGTTCTTGCAGCAGCGACTTGTTCTGCAGAAAACACAGCGACACCATCGCCAGTGCCGTCTGCGTAATATGATTCAGGGAGAGATTTCCCAGTTTAAGTCCGGCCGTCTTCGCCATATCTGCATCAGTTCGGTCTGCAGTTGCTTCCTCATTGGCAAAGGGCACACAAATCCTCGACAGGAGAACATCAACAGTCTTGAAAACCACAGTCATGGCCTCGAATCCTGGTGAATCTGGGGAGAATATCGGCTGGTTTTCCCATCTAGAACGCCATCCGCGGATGATGCTTGCCACGGTAATGCAGTGGGAGGGGACATGTAAAGCCCAGCACTTCTGAAGTGCAGAAGGCGACAGATCCGCCACGCTAACCACCTCAAATAACAGACGAGGACTATCGCTTGAGTCAGAATAATCGCCAGAAATTACATTCGAACTTTGGCCTCGATACAAAACTGAGGAGGACGGAAGTGACGACGCAGAGGAACAAGCGCGATTGTCGCTTTCCAGTAGTCTATCCAGCATGCCGCCATCAATTTCACCATCGACCAGAACCCACTTTAACGAGCTTGAGCTTTGTTTCCACTTCACGGATTCAGCAGCTCCACACGCCATCGCTATGTTCTCGTAGAACTGTTCCAGTGTTAGCAACTGCGGGTTGAGAATGACGAGCTGGGATAGCGACGGGTTCGCCTGACTGTGTATGACAGCCACGTCTTCGTTTTCTTGGTTCTGCTCGCTCATCTCCAGTGCCAGTAGTGCACGATGCAACGCCGTGATGCAGGTCGTTTTGCCACTACCGGGAGATCCATACACAAATGCAGCTGGGAAGGTCTGTAAGGCGCGCCACAGTTCCATAACCAGCTCAAACTGCCCGCAATCCGCTGGAAGAGCGTACGCACTTTCCAAGTAAATTGTCACAGCGGCAGCCACCGCTTCTTCGTCTCCTTTGCCTTTGGTCACTAGTCTGCCGCCCATTGACAATGCAAACACTCGAACCAAAAGTGCATTTGCAGGAGCCAGTGGTGTGCATTCACCGCCATCCTGCTCTTTGGACACCAAAGCTTCGATCGCCGAGAGAAAAGCCTGACGAAAAATGAACTGTCCTTCACGAATCTCCATCTTGCTGGCCTCTGAGCTCTCAGTGCTTTCTTGATGCGTTGAGTTCCTGGCCTTGCCTCCCCCGGTCGCAAGATTCAAATCCCACACCACTCGATACTGATCCCGGAGACGACGAGCTTCTCGGATAACACGTGAGATCAATGACTCGACGTTGGATACACCAATTGGTCCAGCCTCTCCAGCATCAATCGCCTCAACAGCTTCAACAACGTTGAGTTCTCGGGTCTGCTCCGAGGTAAACCCATCGGCGATGAGCATGCACTCGACAGTGTACTTAATGGCCGGTCGAGAGACAGCAACAGCACGGAATGCAGTTCGAACAGACCGAATCAACCCGCTTCGCTGCAGTTCTTCCGTCGATTCCAATGGAACGAAGATCGAGCTAGCTCCATACAAAATTCCACCAGGGTGTCGAGGAAGCACGAGTAAATTTGTCACGGCCTTTTCTTGCGGGTAGTGGGGGTTGATATTACCAGCAGGAGCAGCGTGATGGAAGTGCTGCAGAATTTTCTCGTGTACGACGCCAACAAGTGCAGTCGAAAGTTGTACGAGATGACGGACGATGAGAAATCCATTAAGCTTTGACGTAAAGCTCATCAAGTTTCCGATGTGGTGAATGGTTGCTGCGCCCCCCGCGCTGGGGTCGCATGCAAACTCAGTGCACGGTCTCAACAGCAGTTGCGCAATGCCCCACAGGAGCGACGTGGGGGCCGTTCCTGCGCGATCAACATTGTATGGCACAACTAGAGCTGTGTGATGCATCCTCAGAGCACTGAAGAGCGCGTACGAGCAGCGCTGCGTGAATGGGGATAACACAGCAAGTCTCCTCCAGCCCACAAATTCCTGACCCAATGGCATTTGTAGGTGGGCAACCTGGCAGCATACAGAGAAGCTCATCGGTTGCCCACTGTGGTTTGCGGAGGGTATTTTCAGAAAGTCAGGGCTGCTAGGAAGCAGCTCGTTCCTCTCCCCTTTGCTGAGCTTCCCGGGGTTAAGTTGCACAGTAGCGTTGGCCGTTGTCATGGTCTCAACATATACTCGAGTCTGGAGCTGCATGCTCCAAAAGAACAACGCGTCTTCCTGCCGTCCTTGCCCCAGTAACACTACAACGCGATCCACAATTTCGGCCTGCATCTTACCAAGCAAAAGCATGTTTTCAAGACGTACAGAGCTCGAGGTCTTCTCTGCACGGCGCATCGTCACCAGGCCTTCCAGTCTCCCTCTAAGACCCACTTGGACCTTAATCAGCTGCCGAAATTTCGTCTCATACTGGTTCGAGCGCAGCGCTTGGTTCATGTCGAATGTGAATCGAAGTCCGAACGCCGTAACGATGGATTGAGGCAGAAGCGAGTCGTAGTCTCCCAACTCTGCGCTGGCAAAGTCTTGAGTGGCCCATTCAAATGCGCGCTTTAGATCCGTTAGCACCATCGACGACATTTCCTCCTCAAGCCGCGTGAACCAAAACTTAACACGACCGATTTTGGCCACGGGGAGACGGAAGTGGCCACTTTTCTCGGTGGAGCCGGCGGGGTCTTGCAATCCTTCGAGCCCCATTATGACGATAGTTCCAGCCGTCTTGCTGGCTCGTACAGAGGTTCCGGGCTTGCCAAAAACTTCGACTGTAGAGCCGACTCGGTTGGCTGCGCGAGATAATGCAAAGCGATGGACTTGAGGGAAGCAAATAGCGAGCGATTGATGCAGTTGCTTGACATCTGAGTCTCGTAGTAAAAGGCGAAGCATCGACGATTCGTCCAGACAATACATTCGAGGCGCTTTCTCGCGTATCGAGGCGAGATAGTTGTGAACAAGTTCAATGCCTCGCTCACAGACCGCAAAATTGGCCTCGAAATCGAAGCCTTCAAAGCTTTTAATGACGTCGTCGAGGGTGCAGTTCATCGATTTGGCGGCGGTATTTCGTCGCCGATTTATCGTCATTGGAGCAGGCGCCACTGCTGATTTCCTACCGAGGAGAGAGCGTTGGTTCTGTTCCGCTGGTTCGACTTTAACTTGAGGAGGACTCACAAAGAATAGACGACGAAGTCGGTCGCTCCAGGCGTGACTCGCATCCAAGAACGCCTGCCATACAGTCTGCTCTTGCTTTAATCCAGTTTTGCGGTGGGATTTCTGACCTCGAGGTAAGGCAAAGTCGCCGCCGCTGAAGCGTTTGGAGAAGAATTCATCCATCTCGTGCAGTTTTGTTGCTTCACACCTCAGTCGCCAGTGCTTTTGGTAGGACAAAATATGCTCGCACACCGATACTTTCCGCTCCAGATCCGCTCTTAATTCCAGACAGAGCTGCAGCTCCGGATTCTGACCGAACGGGCAGAGATTCACGTCGACAGCGATCTCATCCAGCTGAGCCAAAGCTTCTGCTATACCTTCACATGCCACGCTGTAGTTTGTCTCTTCCACGCGAACCTCAATCCGAGCTAGACGTTGTCGAGCCTGCTCTAACTTGACGTGTAGTTTTGCTTCCACAATGCATTCATCGCAGACGACTAGGAATGTCTCAACTTGGCCAGCGTCACACTTTTCCTTCATCAGTCGTAGAGTCAAATGGCCTCCACCATTTGATGCAGTATTAACGTTCAACAGCTGGTTCATGGCTGCCCACCGCGCCTCAGAAAAAGCCCCACCGCTGATCGCCTGAAAGATGCGATTGCAGTTCGACATTTCCTCAATGCTACTGTCGAATACGCGCATGAGCTCGAAGTCCTTTTTAGCGAACGAAGCACTCTCCTTACAATCTTTGTCTTCGTGCTGTTCTAACACAAGCGACTGCACTAGGACCGAGGACAATCGTGACAGACGAGAAGAAGCGTATGCCAGGCGTCGTCGAAACAGCTTAATCCGGTTGATCATTGTTCCTGGGTGCACACCTGTAAGCGGAGACCCGAGCCACTTGTCCTGCATCTTCTTCCACGATTCAAACCACTGGCGCAGTTCCAGCGACGTGATAATGTACAGCAGCAGCAATTCACTTGGGAGTTTATCTGTCATACTCACAGCCGATAAGTTTTTCGAGCTAGTACTCGATATTGATGACGTCCAAACAGGCTGCTGCAACGGTGGCATGTCCATACTAGCTCGGTGTTCACGATCGTATTCTTCAAACTGCTGCACCACACTCTTCCGCTCGATATCCATCGCCACCAAATCTTCGAGTTGCTGTAGTAAGTCGTCTTTGTCAGAATGTACAGCTAAACTGCTGGGGGCACCATCGCCGTCTTGCTCTTCACAGCCAGACGGAATTTCCTCGAACTTGCCGATAATGAGCTGAAGTTGGCCCGAAATGTACTCGTCCACTTTGCTAATCACGTCGTGGACGCTACGACGGTGTTCACTCCCTCGCTCTTCGACTCGAGCTAGACACACCAAGAGCGTCTCGATGACGGATTCCCACGTCAACTCGAGTTTCCGAATGGCATCCTGTGCTTCGATTTCGAGCGATACTAATCCACGCTCCTTGATAAGTATCCGAAGCCGTGCGAGGTTCGCAATCTTCGTGTCGAGTCGCTGGCGGAACGGACGAGATGGCATCATTGACGTGACCTGCGTTAGCCACGCGTTCGCTTCTTCGAGGTTGGTCGGGATCTTGGTAATCTTGTCGATTCTACCGTCAACATCTTCCAAAAGACTAGTCAAGAACTGCTGATAGATCAAAGGTAGTGCGTCATCCATTTCCGCCACTCGCTTGGAGACGTGGCTGCGTAGTCTGTCGACAAACGAGCGTTCATCCAACAGTAAAAAACCTACTTGAAGCATCGAAGCCGCACTGCTCGCATACCGTACGAACCGACTCCAAGTCTTCTGAGCCAGTTCGTAAGCAGCAGCACTACTAGACAAGTCTGGCAGTTCTGGGAGTCGGGTATCCTCTTCATCAGCTTCAGCGCACTCCGCCATGCTATTTCGTCTTGTAGCTACAACAGGCGATTCCCTCTCAGCAACTTTAATAGCCCGAATGCACCGCAAATGCTCCTGCTGAAGAATTCCTAGGCGTCGGAAATGCAATTCCAACGCAGCACGCATTTGCCGAAGTTCAGGCTCGTAAGTTTCCAGAACGAGATGCGACGGCTTCAACAAGCTCTCAGCAAAACCACGTCGAGTTGACGGCACGAATGGCGTAAGTACACGCTCAAAAAGCTTGTCCGTCAGAACACGAGGTAGCCCATCCAAAGCGACACAATACTTCATGAGAATGGCGTGAATGAGCTCGAGTACCTCAACCTTTGATGGAACGAAATGTATCGTGGCTGAATGGACTTCACCTTCGAAACTGACGTCATCCTCTAGGCTAACAAACAAACCAGGAACGGCAACAACAGTTCTATCGCTAGTCTGTGCTTGAATAGTGTAGGTTACACATGAGAATGCTGGAGCCAGAGATGTTGATCGCCTCGCGTTCTCACATAAATCGGAGTGACACAAATTCCCACTGCGTTCCACGTCGCCAACAGACTGTGCAGCGCCTTGTTGGCCACAGATTCGAGCACGAAGGTCCTGTACAACGAGAGTCATGTGCTGGTAGATGGCTTCTGCTACGTGACAATCCACGAGACGTAAGAAGGTAAACATCCTTTCGCGTAGACTGGATAATCGAAGTGTCTTGCTGAACTCCTCGTGGTCTCTGATTGCGTAGCTGCACCCTTGCTCCTCCTTGCATCGTGAAATGTCTCGTGTAGCATCGTTTATCATCACACAAAGCGATTGAATTCTCTTGGTGATTGCAGCTGTTGCATCACGCACACGTTGCTCGTGGATATGAGCCAGTCGCTCCAGTGTGTAGCTCGTGTCCGCTTCAACATACTCGCGTTCAGCCTCGTCTTCAATCTCAGTGCAGGCATCTCGTACGTTCAACAGCAAATGTCGGGCGATGGGATGACTGATAAAAAGACTGGATGCTAGTCGTTCCCGAACGCGACGCAGTCGTCGCTGCACAGCTTGTCGCTTCCACGAGAAGAAGAATATCATCTGCTGAATGCGTTTGAGACCCTTAATGTTCGTCATACTGTCGAAGGCGTGCTTCTCGTCCACCCAGTTAGCCAACTCGGAGAATTCTACGCCTTGGCCGCCTTTGAAGCGGGTCAACCCGTGAGAGCCCAGTGTGAAGTACTCGAGCGATGAAGCGCTGTCACTGCAAAGGACAGTGCCTTCATCTGCGAAGGTCAACCAGTACACATTACGAAAGCCGCAAGGTGGTGCGCCACAATGCACAAGGTAAAGCACGTCTTCCTCTGGCCGCACCCTTCGCTGATTACCTTCGAGGGCAATAACCACAGTGAATTAAAACCAAAAGCTCACAATAAAATTAACAAAACGAAAAAGACAAAAACGTACGTTTGCCGCGAGGGATTTCAGAGCGCCGTGCTGGGGACCCCGAGCGAATAACATGAAGAACATAGCGCATTAACGGGTCTTCCGCGGCGTATTCTGCACAACAACGAGCCTGTTATCCACCTTCATGTAATTACGCACGAGTGCATCAAAATCATACTCTGCTCAAAGGCGGCCACAGCGGCTGAACGTGTTTGCGAGTGCTGCTGTGCTGACGAGGCAGAGCTTTTCGAGGGCTCGATGGGCGACAGGATCGGCTTGTTCGAGCTTGCACTCGTACTCGATAGCCCTGAGGATCTGTTGTTACTGGCAAGAGGTAGCTGTGCGGTGGAAGGTGAGTACAATCTTGCCTGCTTGGTCGCTGGAACGGACTGCCAGTTCAGGTGCAGCCGATTGACCAGCGGAGCCGTCTCCACCGTCGTCAGCTTGCTAAACGCCTTCGCAGCATCTTCACGAGAGCGCCTTGATGCGTTGCGCTGTCGTTGGTGCGGACGCGCACCGGACGTCTCCATTCAGCCTTCGCCAGCCGACGCTCGCATCAAATAAGGAGATAGATATATAGTACCGCCCTTTCAAACGCACAAATGACCATTGCGTGGCGTGGCTAGACAAATATATACGACTTTTCTGCAACCTGTGAGTCAATGGACGTGGAGGGGGCGCGCCAGCAGCGTTTAAAAAAGCGAAGGATCCATTTGCGCAGTGTTGGCTCCTTCTTGCCTTCGGTAAACGACGAATGATACTCTTTCATGTACTCGAGTACCGCCTTGACATCGGTGCCTGAGAAGAACAAACCCCCACTAACATTTTAGCATTGATACGATACAAATGCAAAAGCTGTGCGTGGTACAAACCTAGGCCTTGATGGTGTCGCTCACTGACCCATGTGAGCAGTTCGTCCTCGAATGAACAGCTACTGCGTCGTCCTCCTCCTGCTAAGCGGAATCTCTTTCTCTCGGCCGTGACTAGTTTGTCTCGAATACTCTTCCAATAACTCAAACAATTCGGGTTCTTAAGTCCCAATTCTTCGGCCACTTGGGTGACACTTTTACCTTCGTCCAGCATATTTACTGCGTGCAACTTGAATTCGTTTGAAAAGAGCATGTACTTTCCCGAACCCGATCGGCGCTTGCCTGTGTGTTGAGTAGATGACTCTTCCCTTACTTGATGCGTCTCCTTCGAGGCTGCATCTTCTTCCACAGACTTGGACTGAGGCATTAGCAGCGGCGTCAGATTCGTCACTGTCGTCTCTTCCTCCGCCACGTCCGACGTCCCTGTATCCTCCTGCGCCTCAATCGATATCATCTGCGTATCCGTATCAACAGCTTCACTTATATCCTGTACATCAATTGCTGGTGTTGATGAAGCGAGCAGCGACTGCGGCGGGATGTGCTTCTTGAGAAATCTAGACGTCCAGACCTTGAGTGCCGCCGCGCTCTTGGAGGCCGCAAAGACCGGATACTGCTCCATCACGTGGTCGACGATGTCCTGTCTAGTAAGCGGAACATCTCTGTGGCTTAGCACCCATTCCAGCAGACCCCTCTCGTCCTGAAAGGCGGCTCGGGGCCTGCTGTTAGCGGCCACAACGACGTCGTTCTCCTCTGCTCTGAGTTGCTGCCGATCGCACTCGTGCTTACAGTACAGAAGCGTAAGGGCGCTCTTGAGTGCAAATTGCCCGGCAACAGCAGTCATGTCTCCGGAGCTATTAAATTGCTGGATGGCGCGCGCAGTGATAGCCGCAGCCTTGACACCAGACGCGTCTTCATGCTGCGCCAGGAAGAGCGACAGCCACGCGAATAGAAGTGGCAAGTCGTCCAGCAGTTCCGGGTGGCGCGTCTCAAAGAAGAAGAGTGCGTCGTCGGCTGGAACTGTCACGTCCGAGCGCTGTAGCCAGAGCAAAAGCTCCGAAGCGTAGCGCTCCAGGTGGAGAGCAGTGGTGGCGACGTTCGAGGCGTCATTCTGGGAAGAAGAAGGGAGGTCCGAGGCTGTAAGAAGAGCGAGCGTAGAGCTGGACATGTCATCTTGTAGGTCGGCAGAACTAGGGCATGCTAAAGAAGGATGAGACGAGCTGGAGAGCTCCTCGCAGGACGACATTGTGATGATAATAACAAAGTAAGCACCAGCGAGCTATTAACCGATTAGCGAGCACAAGAGCGAGTGCAGTTAATAGACATAGCTACAGAATGCTTTTGAACTGTGCAGACCGATCTTGAAGCGTCGCCGATACGTGAAGGGTCTTTGATCCAGCAATGGCTGATGAAGGAGGCGACGCGCCGGCAGAGCAAGTGCCTCGCGATGTGAGCCCGCATTTTCCTGTTTAAGTAATACTTTACTGAAGACGGTGCTGCTGCTGCAGGATGTGAGCGTGACGCTCATGGGCAACGTGCTGGAGAAGCTGCGTGTACTGCAATATGACCGAGAGTTCGGCAAGAAAAAAAGCTTCGTGCCCTTCAATGAGACGCAATTCGCCATCATGAACGCCGGCACCAATGCCAGCGCGCAATTCAAGAGCTTTTTGGACCTCGTGACTTTCTTGCTTAAGAGCTGTGGCCAGGACTTTGTCGTGGACAAGTACGACGACCCCAACACGAGCGTCAACAAACTCATCCTGACGCTAAAGACTTTGGGCTTCCCGCTCGACTTCCCCGCTTCCAAGCTCAAGCTCGGCTACGGTGAGGCTGTCTGTGCAGCGCTGGACTTCATCTGTGATCAGGCCCTCACTGCTCGGCGCTTCGACTGGCCGCGGCCACAGTATCCGAAGGAGGACTTCGCTGACGAGGCTGAAGTGGATGAGGAGGCTGAGGTGGACACCACCAACGACGACGACGGCAACGCACAGCCTGGACCGGAAGAAGAGGCCGAGGAGCTCTACAGCGATCTTATACGCAGTGACAAAACAGCTGAAGATCAACACGACCTGGATCAGAGCTTCCAGCAAATGATCATGAGCGAAGTGAATCCACTGCTCTGGAAGACGGAGCTGGAGCGTGTTGGGCCGAGACTGAAGGTGAAAGGCGGTGCTGCTGCTGCAGGTGCTGCAGGTAAAGAATGGCACGGGCACATTGAGCGATCGAGAGATCACGAGAAGATCATGAACGAGCTGTTACCGCGTGCGAATGGCCAGCTGCGCTTGCTTGGTACTCAACTCGCGGAAGCCACAGGGCGGATGGGTGCGAAAGAAAAGATGTTCAATAACCAGTACGAACATCTAAGACAAGAGTATGCAGCGCTCAAGGAGAAACTGCAAGCAGCGACGGAAGTTGGCAAGGAAGGAGCCGATCGCGTGAACGCCATGACGACTGAGTACGCCGAGACGACGGAACAGTTGAAAGAAACCAAGGGCGTCATGGACGAGCGCGGCGCCAAGATGACGGACACGTCACCACTTGTGCACATAAAGAGCGCGCTAAAGACGCTCGCTACTGAGATCAAGAACTTTGAGTTGCGCATTGGTGTCGTCAGCCATACGCTGTTGCAGGCAAAGTGCCGCCAGGCCAGTGCCGCAAGTGTGCGACGACGTGGAGGCGAAGCGGCTGCAGACGGACAGAGCTACCAGGATCCCGAGTACGACCCGAGCGACGAGGATTCAAACTAACCGCCATGAATGCATTCATTTAATTCCCAGCTACATCAGCACAAATGCCATTAGGAGCACTAAACAGAGTGCTGCTGTATTTCATGATAGCGAGCACTCATAGATCGGCGAAGGAGCAGATCGTGGGGAAGTGGTGAGACTCCGGCAGCGGCTTGTTGCCTGGACGCACGGACAGAACAGTGTCGAGTCCGGCGGCTTCAGCAGCCTGAGCCTCTTCAATCACGTCCGTGACGAAAAGCACGTCCTTACCACTGTCCACGCCAAGACTCTGAACAATTTCCTTGTAGCTTCCAACCTCGCGCTTGTGGCCGATCTTCGTGTCGAAGTAGACGGTCAGGTATTCTCGCAGATCGCCTTTGTCCGAATACTGGAAGAGCAGCTTCTGCGCCTGACGTGAGCCGGAAGAGTAGATGCCCACACGCACTCCACGGGCGTGTAGGCGCTCAAGGCACGGAGGTACATCGTCGTACACGAGCGCCTTCAACTCACCCTTTTCATAGCCCTGCAGCCACATGTGACCTTGTAGCTGCTTGAGGGGTCCAATTTTGCGGTCTGCCTTAACATTCCACTTCACATACGCTGTGAGAGCCTCAACGACTTGATCCTTGCCCTGAGTATCATCCAACGTAGGCGGGTTCATTCCATCAGCCTGGTCCTGCTTATGTTGAGCCATCAGAGCCGCCACGTCCGCCTTCGAGTCGGATGACTCCCATGTTTGTTGCAGAAAGCGGGCGACATTGTCCGTCACGTACGGGAACAAAATGTCGTGAACGAACGTAATTGGTGTCGTGGTTCCTTCAATATCCAGCATCACCACCTTGTGCTTTTCAGCCATGCTGAGCTCTCCGTTGTTTGTTTCGTCAGTTCGTGCGCGCTTAAGAGAGCTGCCGTTGCCAGAGGAAGCAGACACGGGAGGAGCCGTGTAGTCCAGGTTCAGCTTGCGCATCTCGATAGCCGCCTCAAACAGGTAGTGCAGGCATTCAGCATGGCGCTTAGCAGCTTCCCACGAGTCACCCCACACAAAGAGACCGTGACGACGAACCAGGACAGCAGACGTGTTGGGATATGCTTTCAAAGTACGCGCAATCGGCTCCGCGAGGGCAGATTCCTTGGGTGCGTTGTCGATCACAGGCACAACCAACGTGTCGGCGTACCCATGGCCGGTAATGCCCTTGATCATCTCCTGGTGCGAAATTCGGAACTCGCTCTTACCGTCGCAAAGTGCCGCCGCCAGGTTACATTTAATGCCGTGGCTGTGCAGCACCACAGCAGCCTTGCAAATCTTGTGCGCGTTCAGGAACAGTGGTGCACAGTCTGAAAGCTTGGGGGCCTTCTTGCCCGGTTTGGCCGTGGGGCTTGAAAGAATACTGCCCTCCAGGTCTAGCACATACAAGTCCTCGGGCTGTAGACGCTCCTTGGAGCAACCCGACGGGGTCACGTAGATGCGCTCGCCGTAGCGCAGACTCATTGCACCACCCGTGCCTGTCATCCATTCTGTACTGTAGTACAGCCGGCACAGCTCGCAAACCAGATCGCGGCATCCACTGGCGGTCATCAACATCGAGTGGTTAGCGGCGTCTGCTGCGCGTGTGAAGCGAGCAATGAGACTACGAGAGCCCTTGCTGCTCTCCAGGAGTTGCGTTGCGTTACCTGCGATCGGCACGAAGCGGCGTAGTGTGCGCAGACTCAGCGAGGCCTTCATTCCTTCCGTCAAAGTGCAGCGCACCCAGCAGTCGGCGGAGTCACGCACGTCCAAATGCACGCAGCCTTTGACGACCCTGTAGACGACGTCGGCGGCGCTCGAGTGCTCGTTCTGTAGCTCCTCGTCGCTAGTCACGTCAACAGTAGATTCTGCCTTGCTATTAGCAGAACTGGGCGGTAATTCAAGAATGGAGACGCCGACGTTGCGGAGAACGGCAAGACTTGCGCGGTTCGAAGAGCTGTCTAAGTATTTTGGCTGCAGAGCAAGCTCCAGCGATGAGACCTAATTTGCGAAAAGAGATAAGCACACCGACAGGGAGAGAATAAGTTAGGGAGATATTGACAATGAGTAGAGCGATAGAGACATTGCCGCTCCGTCGTTATCCATGCCGCAGAGAGGAGCTACGTGAAGCCACATACCGCCATGGTGTCAAACGAGTTGAGACTTGAGTGGCTTCGAAATTGTATTTTTTTCGACCAATCAGCAAGTGATACAAGGTACAGTACAGGTTCATATTTGAATTACGTCCGCCGACGTCCACAGTGCGTCTTACTCTCCGCCCACAGCCTGCGCCGTCGCCTCAGCACACGTTTTGCTTGATTCTTGTTCGTCTGCAGGACCATTTGGAAGCGGCACCGGCCACTTAAAGTCGCCAGTAGGAGGCACCAACGGGGTCCGAGGCGTCTGTGCAGGCTCGCTCAGCATGTCCACATCACTGTTGGGGTTCTTACGCAGGTACTTGCGCGCTCGCCACACACGGCAGTGCGACTTCCAGCGGATCTTGACTGCGTCTTCGGTCCGACCAGGCAGCATCGCCGCAATGACCGACCAGCGGTTGCCCAGTCGTGCTTGTGCCTCCAAGATCAGGCGGTCCTCCTCAGGGGTGTACGCACCGCGAACGATCTGCGGATCCAAATGATTGTGCCACCGCTCGCGGCACTGTTTTGACGTGCGGCCTGGGATCTTGGAGGCCACGTCGCCCCAGTTCTTCTGCTCTGTCGCCACAAGGCGTCGCAGTAGGTCATCTTCGTGCGGAGACCAGTGACCCTTCACGAGACCTGGGGCCAGAACTTTGGTCCATCGCTGCAGACACTGCGTGTGGTTCCGTCCAGGCACTTGAGCGGCAATAGCCTTCCAGTTTTTTTCGCGGTGGTTCTCTACTGCAGCGCGCAGAGCGTCATCTTCTTCCTTGGTCCACCGACGAGGAGTAGCTTTGCGAGTCGCAGGTGTGCTAGGTGTGCCAGGCACGGAGATAGGACCCAACGCCACAAGCACGGACGTGTCTGCAGCTGCCTCTGCCGTTGCCGTTGATGCAGCAGCACGAGCGGCAGCAACTTCGGCATCGCATCTTACACTTAACTGTTTGGATGTGATACTTTTGCGCTTGACAGGGGACGCGGAAGTCGGTCGGTTCGTAGGAGCAGCGCCAGTATTAACGACATTATTGGCTGCTGACAGTGTCGGAAATGACGAATAAAACACAGGAGTGAGAGATGCTGGGGAAGTATCCGGCCGAATAGTAGAGCCCAACGGGTTGCGTTGGTCCGTGACGATAATGGGATTTTGGTATCCCATCCCAGCCACACTCTGCGCCAAACGGTCTCCATCAGTTACACTGGATGGAGACGCCAGCGGGGCCAACAGCCTGCGCGCAAAGAGACTTGGTAGTGAGGACGGAGTGGTCGGCGACCGCACCGAACCGGGCGTGAACAGCTCTGGTGGGTGGAAATGTGAACTACCTATTTGAGGCTGCGGCGCTGTGATGGTCAGAGGTGATCCCAGCACAAAGGAAGGGAACGAGGCTTGAGGGGCCGCAGGAGACGCCTTCGGTACAGCGGGTGGACGCGAGGACGACGTTGAGATGACGGGCGCAGTTGTCGTCGTCTCCTGCGCACTCGAAGCTGTGGCTCGCAGTCCCGTTAGCGCCTGTGCCGCCTCCGCCTCGTGAATACTAGAATCCTTTCCGTTCTGCTTCGACGTCGTTGCGTTATCTGTAGCTTGTGCTGGGTTATGGGCTTGATTTTCCAGCTTGATCGTCGCCACCGAGACTGCCGTAGCGTGAGGTGGCGATTGTAGCAAGATATGCGCAGCCTGCTGTAATGTGATTAGCACTGACTCCTCATCTCCTGCCTGCGTCAGGCCATGCAGCTTGCGGATTGCCACCGCAACACTGTGCGCGTCTTTCCGCTCCAGTGCAGCCGTCATCTCAGCTGCAGCTTTGAATTGCTGCTGTATGACCTCAAGCCACGCGCTGGTGGCGCCTCCCAGCGCCGCCTGATCCAGCGCCCGCTGCACCACCATCTGCGCCACTTCGAGCGGAAGTGCTGTCCACCACAACAGAGGGAGAGAACAGTCAAGGGATGTCATCACGCAGCAACAGCCGGATATCAAACGTACCCATCTGGGGCGTCGCTTGCTTGTGGTCTCGGCCGTGTGACTCGCGTACGTGAGTGAGCAAGTGATCCAGTGTGGAAGCGCTAAAGCCACAAAGCGAACAGCGTGCTGAGGCTCCGCTGGCATCACGCGCAGCGGCGGAGGCTCGGAAGACGGCGGGCGCGTCACTGCTGGCCTTGCGCTTCTTGGAAGTTCGCTGCAGCTTGGTCACGGCGCCAGCCTCGGTGGCGGCGGGGGTCGATTGCGGCTGTGCCGGCGCCATGTGTTGCTACCGTCGGCTCTCGATCTTCACTGACGACGAGTGGAGCTTTGCCGTCAAAGGAGCCGGTAGCTCCGCTGGTCTGACTTCTCGCGAGAATTTCGTACTGAAACCTGAGAAGCTCACCTCAGCAGCCACTGGTTCGTTTTTGCTCGCGAACAACCCTATAAAGTGCCCCCATAGTGAAAGCCAAATAGAAAGGGGCTGCGATCCTACCTCCACTATGAGAGATTTTGTATGCGACCCTGGGATGATGCAACGGCCAGCGCCATCTAGACGTAAGCAGCCAAGGCGGCAATAATGCTTAGCAGCACGTTGCGCGTGCTGTATTTGTAAAGGGGGTTGTTGAAATTTTCCATATCTTGGTGACGAAGACCACGGGATACTGGGCCGAGCATGGAGAACCTCTCCAAAATGAAACTTGGGAAACATGATATCCTGTCGTACATGTACATGACATTATTTATGTTTGCCCAAATGACAAAAGTCTGCAAGTGTATACATGTATATCTGTATTGGGCAAAAATGATCTTTTTAGAATAGACTTTAGACGTATTGCTGTCAGGAGTTTTATTTACTGAAACTTTCAGCTGTCTAAAAGACCCATTCATTTCTAATCTCTCACCTTATTTCTTCGTGGGATCAGAGCAGGCAGACCCTCGCTGGCTGGAGTCAAGCTCACGACTAACTGCAGCGAAGCCGCTAGTCAACGTACGGGTAAGTACCCGCCGGCAATTACATATGAGACTCGTGCATGCACTAATTTTAAATGTGCACGCGTCTAACTGGTCGTACGTCCTTCGAGCTTTCTTGAAGAGGTATTTTCGAGCTCCTTCTGGGCTGTTACAGTACAAGCAGCTCGCTTTACTGTTTGAGTCGTGGCCGATAAATGAATTAAAAACGATCCATGTATTATTGATAAACAACGATATTCATCTGATAGAGCCCCGGTCATATTATGAAAAAGAGTGACTCATATTATCTCTACATGTAGTGATTCGGACCTGAGTCCGGAATAAGTAGGGACGCGCTCGAGCAAGCTCAAGGAAGAAGGGTTTACAAAGCTGTCAAGAATCTTCGAGTCCTGCGACTACTCTATCCGATCCTCGAACGAACGAACTAGTAGCATAGTTGAGGAAGGCACCGTTCCTTCTGCGCTTCATTTACCTGCCGATGTGCAGCGTGCATCTGTGCTGACTAAGAAAATTACCTAAAAAAATAAAATTATTAGCACCGTATATGTCCATTCAGATTTCACGTTACATTCATATTAGGAGACAGTGACTGAATGATTGTCCTCGTTCGCCACAAAGAACATGATGCCTTCAGCAAGACTACAGTAGTATGAATTGTTTCCACACTGGATACTCGCGACTACGTAGATTTAGAGTGGCCTAAGCTTAATATGAACGGCACACTACAGGGCCCGTGACCAGGCATTGGCAGCTGAAAGAGCTACACCGGCGCCACTGGAACGATCGCTTACGTCGGTCGTCATCTTGCCTTCATCACTAGATGTTGTTGATTTAGATTGGGTTTCCTTCTCTTCTCTCCGTTCACGCACAATGTTGGTGGCAACCTCCAGAACACGGAACGCTCCAGCAAACTCAGTCGCCGACATATCGGCCAGCAGAGTTGCAACTGTTTTCCCCATCGCGTGAGCCACTTCGAACTGAGTTGTGGGTTCTACTGGGTTAGAGGCCTCATTGCCGGAAACAGGTAGAGTGAGGCGGTAGTCATGCAAGACTTGCTCATCTGAAGTCAGCTTTGGGGTGGCAGGCTCAAATCTTTGATTATTGGGCGGTGCAACAGCTTCTGTTTGTTGTTGATTGGTGTTTTTTGCCTTGGCGACTGCTACTGCCGCTTCCTCCTGGTTGCGCAGCCGATGCAGAATATTCTGCACGTCCTTCAGCGTCGGTGCGCAGCACGAATGCTCCATTATGTAAGTACGAATGTCCTTGGGCTTGACTCCTGTTTTCCTCATAAGCTCGACGCAGCTAAGCAGTTCGTCCGAGAGATTCAGTCTCGTGTTGCTGTACTGCAAAAACGTTTCTTTATCCACGCGATGATTGTGCAACAATAGTGCCCGCGTCACATTCACCTGGTAACGATTGGTGACGGGGTCGGCGAGCTTCAAACACGCATTAACTTGTACGTTGCAGTGAGTAGCTCGAACATCCTGTCGAGAGCGTTGCCCTGTTCCCCGGGACACGAAGGCGCCGCTGTGCGTGCACACGAGCGTGAGCGAGTAGTTGCGATATGTCTCTGGAATGAGACGCGCGCTCTCAGGTCTCACGCTATCTGCCGGCATCTTAGCAGAGAAGCGCTCGACCACGCGCCGGTTGCGCAGTTTCACAGAGGTTGACGTTCGCCTGCGAAAGAGCTGAAAGCTGCGGCTGGCGTATGTCTCCATGTACACGTGGAAGTCATCCCACGAATCAAATACGCGGCGGCCCAGTGGGGCGCCCTCATGCATCTCCATTGGTGGCTGCGGGGCGGTGGCTACGGATGGCGGTGGCGAAGACGACGGGGCCATGCTGAATTGACTGTCCTTCCTAAAATTTAAATCCGTTCATCAGGTGGTACATGGTACCATTCACACAGTCGCCATCAAAATCCAAAATGGCTGGAAAGCAGACCAGCGGCGATGCCTCGGTGCGTCCACGCGTAGACGCATCCAGCGCGCGCCTCACGTATGTTAACCTCCATGGCATCCATCTTCATATCATCTATTTATGCCACCTTTTCTTTAAAATACACTCTTCCGCTAATGCTCACCATGCTTCTATACCCACAGGTCCCTACGAACCTCGGCCGACGCTTCCACTGCCCCTGCGCGGCGGCCCAAATTCGTACCGAAGGCTGCCAAACGTCGTCCTGCATCTGAAGGACGTGTTGATAGTACAGACGCTGGTCCACAGCGCTCAAATGATGCCAAGCAACACTCCACGGGCGCCGGAGGGCTCAGGAACGACAACAACAAAGGACGAGGAGGCAGAGGAGGTAGAGGTGGCCGCGGGGGTGGGCGCGGCCGTGGTCGTGGTCGCGGACGAGGCGTTCTGCCCAGCGGCAAGGTCGCGTTTGTCGGCACGCTTTCAGGCGGATCGTCGTATAGCGGAGGAAGCAACGCACCCGCTCCGCGCGTGACGCCCGCTACCGATTACTCGGCTGCTGGTGGTACAGGTATCAGTGTGCTAGACGAGGAAATGCCTGGAGGAAAGATGCCCGAGACGGAGGTGGAAGAGGTGTGGCCACCTGTGGTGAAGTCGGTGATGGAGCCGATGAGCCTTCCGATCGTGCGTCCGCCGGAGCCTGAGAGCGCGGGCGCCGTATTCTGCGATGTCGCTGGTGACTTGGTGGCTCCAGATGACTCGCTGTTCTTCATTCAGATGCCGACGACGTTGCCGCTTTCAAGTGCCGTCACGAAGGCGCCTAGTGCTACCACCGACGTAGATGAACCTATGGAGAGTGTAGACGAGTCGAAGGAGGACGCTAAGCAGGCAAAGGGGAGCAAGAACCCGGAGGAGCTTGCGTACGTTTACAACGAAAACGACTACATGTCGTGTGAAGTACTGGGCGGCTCTAACTGTTTTATTGTGTTTCGTATGACAGAGATGATGGTGTGTTTGACCACTCCGTCGAGACAGCGCCGGGCGGCTTCATTGGCAAGGTAAGATACGATTCGGCTGTCTCGGTCTATCAAATTACTGAGCATTGGGTGTTGTCCTGTGGTCGACAGATTTGTGTACACAAGTCGGGCAAGATGGTGCTGATGCTGGGCGACAAGCAGTTCGAGGTGGCGGCGGCCCAGACTCCGTCCTTCTGTGAAGAAATCTACGCTATCAACACGACGGAGAAGCTCCTGAGCATCCTAGGAAATGTGGAACGTCATCTCGTGGTGACTCCTGACTTCGACGTGCTGCTGCATTAGGCGAAAAACTGTAAAGCAATAGAAGGCGCGTCTTTTACGATCTACATGTAGTACAGTAGTAGACGACAAGCATTTGTACCCCTGGGGCCCTACGAACGTAGCACAGTGGTGTGTCAGCTTTAGTATTCATAGCACAACGTGAATCGACTCAGTCTCCAGTCGCGGTGTACACTTACGGATATACACGTCGTGTACAGTATTTTACTGCTACTACTGTAGTACTACATGTACTGTTCATTCATTGTACATGTACTGTACGCACATGGTTGTCTCCGGAGCTGCCCGTTCGCCGGTTTTGATAACTTTAAGCCACCGAATAGCACGACGACAGAGATACACAGACACAAGGGCCAGCCGAGTTTGAGCCGCGATTACCAAGTGACTTGCACGCTCACTTTGAAAGGAGAAACGCACAAACGTTTCCAAAAGATAGAACGAATAAAAAAAGAATACGTGTTTGTGTGGCCTGCAGCTACTACCAGAGAAAGCTTAGACACCGCTCGCTGACTCTGCTCCATCTCCAGTCCTGACGGACACATTAGAGAAATATATCCTAAGTTGCACCTTATTCGTCGCTGTCCTCGTCCTCGTCGTCGACATCGTTCTCCTCTTCCTCGTCATGGTCTTCCACAGCGCCCTGGGCGTTGTAGACGTCCATTTGTTGCTGGTACTTAACCTTCGCCTCCTCGTTCATCTTCTGGTACTTAGCACGCTTCTTGTCGGGTAGTGCGCGCCACTTCTCGGCCAATAGCGTGGCAATCTCCGTGATCTTCTTGTTGGGATTCTCATCGCGCACCTCTTGGCGGATATCATTACAGAAGAAAAAGTACGCAGAAAGCGCACGCTTGGGGGCGTTCGGGTCTTTTTTCTTTCGGGAACCCTTGGTGCTCTCAAAAGATGGGTCAGGAACGTAGTCCTCCTTCTCTTCCTGGTATCTCCGCTTGTCAGCGGCGGCTAGCTCATCGTACGGCTGTAAGAAAAGTCACAATACGGTCAGCAAGAGCGTAAATAGCCCCGTACAGAGGCGTGGTAACGCACCCGACGATCCTCATCGGAGATCTGCTTCCAACGGCGACCAATTTCACTCGATATCTCGAGGAACTGCAAGTCGGGCATCTCCTTCTTCACGGTATCACGGATGTCATTGCTGAAAAACATAAAGGCCGACAGAGCGCGCTTGGGAGCGTTCTTGTCTTTTTTCTTGCGAGGCTTGCGCGTGTGGTCTCCATTTTTCTTCGGGCGCCCGACTGCTCCTCCGCGCGCCATGTTCCTTGCGAGTAGACTTGACCTGGCTGGGACTGCTGCTGTTGTGAACTGGGGACTGTGCGAGCCAAAACAGGCTAAATCGCCTATGAGGTTTTGAGGTTTTTATACACACAAGGGAGCCTACGCCACACTGGCTTGCTTCTTCAACAGCCGCATCTCCACTATGGGCTATTTACACTGTGGCTGCTCCCTATTTATGAGAATCAACGGTATGCGTTTAATGCAGCCAGGAAGCAGCGATCATGAGGCAGAAGAAGTGCGCCCGAGGCCTGATGCGCACAGTGTGCGCATCAGGCCAAAATATCATCACCTGTGCGGCACAGGTGCTGATATATTTTGAAGCAAGGTCACGCGGCTGCAATTGCCAGTTTTGTCAATATAGTGCCACCAGCACGGCATTCACACACATTCAGCAAGTATCGTACTGCTGCAAGGTGATGCTAAATACTGGACATTATTAAAAAGAGAAGCGTGTCAAATGTCTGGGGCGAAGGATACTGATGTCGCTTTAGTACGGCTGAGGGTGTGTGAAGCGCTTTCGTACCAAAAATGAACTTGATCTACTACAGTGGTAATATGTAAGCTGGCTTGTTGAGACTGGCAAGGATAACGTCATGAAAAACCGATACCAGTACATTTTGTCATTCAGACGCTAGAGGTGCAGCTTCTGATCAACTGGTGCATGACCGACAAAGCGAGCTATTATATTCGGCCTTGTCGCTCGCTCCAATCTACTGTATCGCTACCTCATCGCCACCACTACCAAGACTGATAAATTCTTCTAACGATGAAATTAACAAGGCATATAATCATCTAGCACCAGGCTTGGTAACTGAAAGCATGCAGCTAAGCGATACGATTGCATTGGGCCAGTCACCTGGTACGATTAGTTTTCTCGTACATGTAAGTGATTATCCGCAAACCCCAAAAAGCTTTAAAAAAACGACGCTATGACCGGAAGAGGTTTGTTCATGTTGGTACGGGTGGGTTTTCTCGGAAGTGAATATTCGCTTAAGCAATGCCGCGTTACTACTATGACCTGAAGATGTTTGTAACGTAGTGATAGCAACTGGGTAACGTAAAGGCAAGTAGGGTTTTTGGCCTGTATCCTGCTTCTTATTGGCGGAATCTTATCTTTGGAGGGACTGGATTGGCTGGATTGATGGGGTCTACCAAACAATTTACAACTTAACGCTAATTTGTAGATATAAAATACTATTTACGAAAGTAGCCTTCAGACACCTCAGTGCGAATTCGCTTGCTCGGGCCGAGCAGCTCGGCACGCCTGGGCGGCATGCGCTTGTGTTTTTCTCTGCGGCTCGGCACCTTCTTCGACTCCAGGAAGATTACCATCAAGTAGTCTGTGTCTCTGTATAAGGGAAAAATGGATCTCTCGGTTGGCACTGCCAAGCTGGCAGGGCTTCTCTGATCCTCTCGAGATCGAAAAATTACAAGTCTGTATCTAAAAAACGTATGTACTTGTATGCACTTTATCACTCATTCAATCAGTCTCGCCTCAACACAATGTGGCAGCGTTGGCGAGCTCTATCGTTGCTGTGATGTACTGTTTGGTGACGCCGGCGAAGAAGCAGCCTAGCGGTTAAAATCGATGCGATTTAAAAAGAAACCATAATGATTCATGCCGGCGGGGCTTAGCGATCGAGCGAGTGCTGATTCTCTGCCACCATCGAAAACCTCGAGTGGCCAGATTGCGCTCGACGACAGCATTATGAAGTTCGCAGCATAAAAGACAACGGCGCGCTGTATTTGGAAGGTGCAAATGCTGATGTTATCATATTCGCTTCACCTTGATGGTTGCTCAGCGCCTACACTTGCTACTCTCCGCTGAACTGGTCGTCCTTTTGGCATCCCTTCACCACCGCTGCAGCGGGCTAAGCAACATCCGCCATGTAATCCACCCAGCCCCACGCAATGATCGAAATGCGGCCTTCATCCCGTATTGGTACGTCCTGCAGGATACCGTGGCGCCAGATCACGTTCGTATCCTTTGCGAAAGCGTAGACGCATCCGTCCGGCTGTGGCACACTCACCACTGTCTTCGTTTCGGCATGTTCAAAGGCGGCGTCGCGGGTGGCGCCGAACGAGATCCCAACTGTGAAGTTCTGAATAGCTGCAATGTGGGGCTTAACAGCAGCGGCGTCAAAGTGGAAGGGCTTCCATTGCGAGGTGTCCTTGTACCAATTGAAGCGCGTAGCTTTGATGTTAAGACTGAAAAAAATATTTAATCGCTCCGTGACCAGATCGAATGTAGGGCACTTGGCCTTCCAGGTGGATCGGTCGTCCACGATGAGATGCGTACCATCAATTTTGTCGTTGCCGTGCCACATCTTGAGTAATTGTTCACGAGGGATGCCGCAGTTGTCGAGCTCGTGCATGAGCTTGGCGTACAGCTCACCCTTCTTAAAGTCACTGAAGAGGTTGGGGACAAGCACCACGTCGCGCGAAGTCAATGGCGTAGAGAACTTGTCGTCCTTGGATCCCAGGTCGTAAGTGATGCGCAGATCCACAGGCTTGGTCATGGGCACGAAGGTCTCGGTATTTTTCTTGGTGGCCTGGCGCCGCTCGTTCTTCTTTTTCTTCTTGCACTTTGTATCGACGTCCTGTTTGTCTGCCTCCCTGGGTGCTTCCACCTCCTTGGGGTTCTCGATCTTTGCCTTGTTGTCGTTGGGCTTGTCAACCTTAGCCTTGGAATTCGACTTCTTTTCCCGCGGCTTATTGGCTGGCTTCTTCTTCTTTTCGAGCTTCTCGACGCCGGAGGTGGCAGTGACAGTAGCTATGGTATTCTCCTCCTCCTTCGCGTTCGGATCGGGCAGACTTACAAAGTGGTTCTTGCGGCAATCGTCGCCGAATTTGCACTGACCTGTCTTAAAAAAGTACAGGCACAGTTGCTTGTCGTGCACGAGCTTGCAGCCACCGCGCGTACACTTCTTCTTCTGCATAAATGTACGGCATACAGCCTTAAAGAGACCCACATCGTCCTCAAAATACAGTGGCGCCTTCGCCTTCGCCTTCTTTTCCGCCTGAGCTGAGGCCGGTGCCACCGGCAAAGCTGTTACTGCGTCGTCCGCCATGCCGATCTTTTCATGGGCAAGATGTAAAACCTCTTTAAATTGATTCAACAAAAATCTGCTTTAGATTTTTTATTCTTCACTTTACTAAAAGAAAAATACATCTAGTATATGAATACTGTGCTCAAGTTATGTTGCGTTGCAACAAGCGATGTACAGTACACAATATCCTTAGTGTTTACATGTTCTACATCACCAATTGCCTGTCGACCTACCTCTTGTATTTCTTGAGTCACTTTTGACAGCATTAGGGGGTTTCAAAGTTGTCATTAATTAGGATTTTTTTTGGCGGAGATGAGCCTCATTTTTGTCGAGAAATGAGGGGGCTTTCAGCTCTGAAACACCACTAAACTGCCACAAAAACCCGATAATTACTTTGTAACCCGTAACCCCGCGTGAACAAGTCGCAGGGCGTGAACGAGCTGCCGCGCGTGAACGAGTTGCCGCGCGTGAAGGAGTTGCCGCGCGTGAAGGAGCCGCCGCGCGTGAGAGCGTGAAGGAAATGCCGCGCGTGAAGGAGCCGCTGCGTGTGAACGCGTGAAGGAGATGCCGCGCGTGAAGGAGCCGCCGCACGTGAGAGCGTGAAGGGGTTGCCGCGCGTGAAGGAGTCGCTGCGCGTGAACGCGTGAAGGAGTTGCCGCGCGTGAGAGCGTGAAGGAGTTGCCGCGCGTGAAGGAGCCGCCGCGCGTGAGAGCGTGAAGGAGTTGCCGCGCGTGAAGGAGTCGCTGCGCGTGAATCTCAACTCAAGTAAAGCGCAAAGAGGACTTTGTGTGGGTCAACGAACAGTGCATGGCATGCGTTTTGCTTCATAATTTTGCTCTCGTGCACCATGATGAAGATCCATTTGATGCCGATGCTAGAGATGACGTCAGTGAACAAGCTACGTGGAGAGCGAAAACGCGAGAAGGAAACGAATTAAGAACTCAAGCTAAGCATTATATGCTATATGGACCCTGTTGGCAATAGCAGCAGCATGGAGCTGAGCATTCGCATGGATACCAACATGGTTTTGTGCTCTAACCGCCGAAAAAGTTGGCTTCATGACAATTTGCGTTGGCTGTAGGAGTGCGCCATGTCCGTTTGTGCAGCCACGGCCGAGAGTTTGCATGCTGAGTGCCGCCATTACTTATAGAAATGTATGCGTGACGACTGGCTGTTACAAATAGATACCCGCGTGATGGATGAATATTGTTGATCGTCATGGTACAGGTAGACGTGGCTGTAAACCATTGCGAAGAGGAAGTATTCGCCTTTATCACCAGGGCTTAAAGTCATCTGCATGATGAGCACCATCTTACCCTGAAAGTTTTTGTCTTATTCTCGGCTGAGCGCTTCGCCACACTCTCAGGTGTGCTTCATTGCAAAGTCACTTTCGGCGATTTAGAAGGTGGAACATTATCATTGGTGCGCCAAACCTTAGCATAATTAGGTGAGGAGATCCCAGATAAGCTTAGCAATAGTAAATACGACGACCAAAGCGTATTGGGATCCAACGACATCGGGTGAATTAAACGACGTGTACTACTTTGTCTAGCCGAGATGTGACGGGGTCACACAGCATGTGACGGGGTCACACAGCACCTTGCGCTAGAGGAAGTTATCTTCCGAGAGTATACAAACCCTCAGTGAACGGCAGTTCACAGGTCCCCTCTTTAATTAAAGAGAGCGAGGTGACCTAAATAAGGTAGATTGTAAGCTGAGTATATTTATAGGTAGCTTAAGTTTGGGTTTAATACAAACTATAAGCTACCTATAGAAATGCAATGTCGTTTAACCAATGGTTGGCTTTGAACGACCTTGGTACCTTGTACCAAATATCCCGGAGTATGACGTGTCATACTCCTGAAGTGTGAAGTGTCACACTTCATGTAACCAGGGTACACTTAGGGCTACGTACCCCGTTACATCCTCCCCCACTTAGGTTCGGTTTACCGACCAATCAGAATGAAGAGGTGTTCGTCACAAACTCTCATTCTCAAAGTCGAAAACCATCGACTTGGCCGCGCGAGCGCGGCGGGGCTCACTTCACAGTTAGAGCCTCGAGCAGCAACCTGTGCGCTCTTCGTCTAGGTCTCCACTTCGACCGTTATCATGCCTCGTGGCACTGCAAAGAGCGGTGCTAAGACACGCTCCAAGGCTGCTGCCGGTAAGGCGCAAGCCAAGAGCACTAAGCCTCACGACAAAGGCTCTGCACTCAAGGAGGCTACTCAGGTGGCCTCCGAGGCGATCGGTTCCTCGGGTGACGCGGCTGTGGACAAGCGCGCAAGCAAGCGCCGCAGTCCGTCGCCCTCGTCTTCAGACAACCGTCCGAACCCTCGGTTCGTGGAACGTGAGTTCAACTCGGGCAGTGAGGACGATGCCGAGCCCGAGAGCACTCATGATGCTCCTGCGGGCTCTGTGGGAGGGCACAGCCCAGTGCCCAGTGAGCACAAAGATGACAGTGTGCAGTCGCCCGCTAGTGATCACGGTGATCACAGTCCCAGGACCTCTGTGCGCTCTGAGAGTCCGGCCGTCAAGGCTAAGGGCGCTCCCAAAGCCGGTGGCGATGAGGAAGAGAATCCTCGCAAACGTCTCTCGCTTGCCGAGGGTCTTGCGCGCGCTAAGGCCTCTAAAGCCGAAGGCGTCAAGCCATCAAAGAAGCGTAAAGCCTCTAAGTCTCCACTCCGCGAGGAGAAGGAGACTCGACGCTCCTATCAGAGTTTCTTCGACCCCTCGGATGAAGAGGAGGAGAAGGAGGAAGAAGAAGAGGAGGCGGGTGCTATCGTTGAGCCCCGGGATGTCTCGAATGACCTCGACCAGCAGCAGGAGGATTTCTAAGCTGCCCAGCGTGTGCGTGGGGGTTCGGTGGCGGCACCCGTCAGCCAGGGAGCTGCCATCAACTCGAGAGGGTATTGGCCTCCCGAGGAGAGCTCTGGGGCTGACCTCTTCTTAGAGGTCCTCGTCGCACCTCGTGGCCTTGTGGGCGGCCACACTTCTAGGGGCATCTATGAACGAGCCCTTGTTCAGAAAGAACAGTTGTTCGTCGACAACTTGGAGGCTGCTCGGTGTGTGCTTCTTGCGCCACACCGCATTCTCCTTAAGGACTTCACGACTTGTCGTAAGAAGCCCGAGACCCGGGGTGGTCTCTATCCTGTTTGGGGATACCCTGGGTTATGCCCGAGAACTGTCCCACGTGGAGTTCTTGTGAGGACATGTTCTGGGCGTGGGTGGAGACTCTTAAGTACTCACCCACGGAGTTACGGGAACTCCATGAAGATCAGCAGCTGTCCCACATCCTGGACCAGCGTGATCTTCGTGTGAGCTTTGCTTACTTGATCAGCAAGCGCATGCTGCCAAGGGACATCCTGAAGCGCGCGGCTTCTAGCGCTCACGGTGAGCGCGGGTACGGAATGTATTCATCGTCCGTACCCCGTTCGGGCAAGAAGCCCCGGACTACTTATGAAGCTGCCGCCGCTTCTGTTCCCAGATTGCGACAGCCTTCGGGCAGTCAATCCGGAACCGTTCAATCGGCTCCCACGACTTCTCGGAGTGGGCATAACCCCTCCACTTCACGAGGAGCTGTCGCTTACCGCGACGCCGTTGCTCCTGGAGGATCCGCTCCACATGGAAGTAGACTTCTCCATTCCGGTCAAGCAGGGGCGGAGGTGCCCTCGTACGAGTACGAGTACTCGGCGCCTCCCGAAAGCCACTCTCGTCCAAGTGCTCCGACTGCGGGTCCGACACAGGGCCCTGAGGCTGACCGCCTCCGTCAACGTGTCCTCGTGCTTGAGATTGCACTTGGCCTTGGGACTGGCGGTGATGCTGCCGCCCAGGCAGGGAATCAGGGCGAGCTCGCTCGTCTTGCGGGCCGCCTGGACCTGTTGGAGCGAGAGGTCGCGAGCCTGCACCTGCGGGAGGATCGCCGGGCCTCTTCGTCCGATCTGGACGAGGCCTTTCGCATGATCCGACGGATCGAGGCTCTGTTGCCACGTCCGGAGCCGCCTGCGGCACACTCCCAGACGTACGCGTTTGGTGCGTATGGTGCGTACCCGGCGTACTCAGCGTACTCGGCTTATGGCTCCGGAGTCCGTTCGTACGGAGCCCCTCCGGCGTACGGTCTTGACCGCAGCCTTGCCGTTCCGACCGAGGCTTGGGCGCCTGCTCCGACGCCTTCGTCGACGTCTGTGGCCCGCCCTCGCTTTGAGGAGCTGGGTCAAGGGGGGACTGCGAGTCAGCAACCCCCTGCGGGTCAAAGTACCGCTTACGACGTCCGACATAGAACGTCGGGTGCGTCGTCATTGACTTTGGAAGGTCGATGGTGTACGACGCACCATGTCTGGCCAGGACTGCAAAAGGTTTGATGAAGCGGTGCTTCAGTTTGTTGCTGCCGGCAGAGCTGACAGTGTCAAGAGGTAGGTTCCTCGTGTCTAGTAACACTAAGTCTTCCACTTTAAATACACTTAAGTTTCCTCTTACATGTTTGTCGGAGGACTCCTTTTGTTTATCTTGGGCTGCTGCCATGGCATCGCGGACCCTGCTGACAACGCTCAGCTTGGTATTCATAAAGGATTCCACTTGTTTCCGCAGCGAAACTGGTCTCACATCCGAGACCTGGGAGGAAAGGGCTTACCGAGCATCTCCTCCACTTAGAATAGAGGAGTCAGTGTCTCGAAGAGTGAGAGGCACTCTGGGGTGGCGAAAGCCGTTCAAGTAGAACGGCGTGAACCCCGTGGACGCGTGCACCGCGTTGTTGAGCGCAAACGCAACAACTGGAAGCTGCGTCGACCACGTACGTGGTGCTGCCGCGCACACACTGCGCAGAGTGTCCTCGAGCACTCGATTGACGCGCTCTGTTTGGCCGTCTGTCGGCGGATGGTCCGCAGTGGACATCTGCAGACGAGTTCCCAGTAAAGGGAACAGCGTTTTCCAAAATGCAGCAGTGAACCGTGGGTCTCGGTCCGAGACAATCGTCTCTGGGAGACCGTGATAGCGGAACACGCCATCGACGAACAACCTTGCGGTTTGTTCGCCCGTAACAGTGACGGGAACTGGAGCATGATGTACCATCTTGCTCAGCCGACACACGAACACCAAAATTCCGGTGTTGCCGTGTCCGTCGGCGGGAAGCCCAAAATTGAAGTCAAGACTCATCGACTTCCAACAATCAGCCGGTACGGACAGGCTCTGTAGTGGAGCCGAAGAGTGCCCTGCGGGTTTGACCCGCTGACATGTTTCACATGTCTTGACGTACCGGGCGACCCACTTGTACATGTGGGTCCACCAGAAGGACTGAGAGACCGACAGAAAGGTCTTCTCGCGGCCCAAGTGGCCGCTGGGGGGCGCGTCATGCGCCTCCGCGAGGATGTCGAACTTCAGATCCTCGTCGTTGGGTACGACCACCCGTGGAAGATCAGTGGGCTCCACCCGATAATAGAGGAGGCCCTCCTTCAACTCATATCGGTGGAGCCGTGAGTGCTGTCGCGACGAGAGCCAGTCGGACTTCGCGCTCGTTTCGGCCTTAAGGAACTTGACGATAGGCGCGACAGCCTCATCGTCCCGATACGCCATGCGTATCCGATCATATAGATCCGTTGTCACCCGCGTGATGTGGGCCAACTCATAGTCGGGACGCCGAGAGAGGGCGTCCGCAAGCACGTTGAGCTTGCCCGGCTTGTATTCGACGCGGAAGTTGTATTCCGCGAAGAAGGACAGCCACCTCGCCATCCTTTGGGAGAGGTGAGGCGAGTTAGTCGCCGTCCTCAAGGACGCGTGGTCTGTGTAGATCACAAAGGGTCTAGAGCCCAGAAGGTGAACACGGAACTTCACAAGGGCATATTTCATTGCCAGGAGCTCCTTGTCATGGACAGGGTAGTTCCGCTCGGCGGCTTTGAGCTGCCTGGACTGGAACGAGATGACTCGTTCGTGTCCAGCCGTGTCGGCCTGCAGCAATGCACATCCGATGGCGTAATCGGAGGCATCGCAGACGACGCTAAACGGCTTCGTCTCGTCCGGCAGGGCCAGGACAGGGGCCTTTTGGAGACTGGCCTTGATGCTGTCAAAAGCATCCTGGTGCTCTTGCTCCCAGCGCCAGTCGACGTCCTTCTGAAGGAGACTCGACAAGGGCTTAGCGAAGCCCGCGTACCCTGCGCAGTACTTGTGAAGGTAGTTGGCCAAGCCCAACCACTTTCGAAGATCCTTCTGGGATCGGGGCGTCGGCCATGCT